AATATATATATATATATATATTTGAGGTTAGGGAATGTATCAATTAAATCTTTATAAAAAAAATATATTTTTTTTTAAAAAAAAGGCATAGGCATGGTCCTAGGCCAGGCCCAGGTGGGCCTAATTTGGAAGTATGTTTAGGCCTATTTCGGAGTGCTTAAGTAGGAACTCTTTAAATTTAGGGTCTAAGTACTAGAGTTGTTGTGAGCTCTCCTCCCCCTTCTCCAAATTGAGAGTAGGTGGCTCCTACCCACTCGAGAATGTGGTTTTTCCTAGATTGCCTTTTTTGGATCCCTTTCCCTTTCCTCTTCACCCTCAATTTAATTTCCCCTAAGTTATGCCCAAATCTTAAAATCGTAATTCTACACTTTCTCCCCCAGCCACTAACATTGTTTTTCAATCTCCACTTCCCACTTCTACATTCGCCTTATACCCCCTCTCTATTATGGCATCCTCAATCCCCTTGCATGAGGTTGTTGCCTACGCCAACTCTCAACCACCAACCGATGTTCCTCGACTTCATGAATGTCTCTATAGTCGATCTTCCTTGGTGACACGTTTTGGTGGTGGGATGTGTTTAATGTGCAAAGTGCATTATTTTCTTGAATTATGGAAGTGCATTTTTCAGTGTGCACTATTTAACCCTTGTCTAGTTACCAAATACTCCTCCTTGGTGGCAATGGACTTGCGATGGTGGTGTGACTATAGCCTAATTTCATATCTAGGGGTTTCTATTTTGGGAATCGTTTTATGGTAAGGATGCCTTATATGGACCATAGATGTGGACCTTCATATTAGCCACTAGATTCATTTGAATAGTAACTTTGCTTAAGTTTAATAAAATGATCACGTGCCTAATATGAAGGTTCACATAAGGAGTCCATATATGGCACTCTTACTGAAAAATTTCGCGCTATTTTGGAGTCTTCTATTTTAATTTATTTTTGGGCTGCATCTTCATATCTGGGCTTTGACCATGTGTAAACTTCCCGTTTTGTGCTTTTCCGTTGGGCATCATTGGGCTTTCCACATCCTTTAATGTCCTTCACTTTCAATGAATGAAGTATGACCCAGAAAAAAAGTAGGAACTCTTTATGCTCATACGCACATTTACTAGAAGTACGTTGAAACTCTTATTGAACATCCAAGTGTTTTCAAGAAAAAAACACCTTCATAAAGCGGCATTTTAAAAATGGCACAAAGCAAGGTAAATTATTATGGTTCTTTTCCGTCTCCTTCCACCGTGTTCTTGAGGCACTAAAAAAATTAATGATCACACATTATACAAAAAATTGGTTACTATTGAACGTCGGAACAAATTTACAATCCGTTAGCGGGTGGTATGATAGACTCATGCCATCTTTAAAAAAAACTCACAAATTTGCCCAACACACAAGAGCAACCAAAGAATTTGGCCTTGCTTCCCATGACACCAAATGCACACCGCGAAGGCTTATGAAGGATTAGTAACCCACCAACAAAAATTTCAGTAAGCTACTCATCAACAACTAAGATCAAAGAAGAGTTCCATCATAAATTTTTCCTTTAATCATATAAATTTCAATTTCATGAGTTACATGCAATTGTTAGGGTTTGCTATTTTGCATTAAAAGACACTAGAAGAAGATATATATACCGTGTTGGTCATGAGACGTTTGTTTTGGAAAGATAATATTGCACGAATACATATGGATTTGATCAATTTTTTGTTGTTATTTTGGGATAACATGTTATGTGGGGCATGCATGGAGTGGCTGGCTTGTGGCAAGTTAGTGGCCAATGACTATGGTTGTGGTATATCCCTTCTTGTCTTGAAGCTGTGGTAGCTTCTTTGTCATCCCCATAATTGTTAGCCACTTCTCTTGATTTGCAAGACTTGAAGACTCACTCTCAAACACACAAATTGCAAAAAGACGTTTTTGTGAAGTTTTGGAATATTCTACTTGTTTGCACATAATGAATGGATTGAGTCCAAATAAGAGGCTTGAGTCGATAGCTCCCCCATTGGCTTATGTAACATGAATTGACTACAAGTTGCAAGTAGTTTGAACTTGTGAAAAGTTTCTATATATTTTATCGAAGATATTATGTTGTCAAATTATCAATTAAATTATTTGTTAAAATAATGTTTGTTAATTTGAATTGTGATCTAATTTTATCTATTAAGGGTGTTGCTTTTTCTACTCTCTTTTTGTCCACTTACACACTATCTTTTGTATTTTAGATATTACTTTTTACTATAACATACAAGGGAGTATAAGTGGACAAAACAAGAATGGGAAATCAGCTCTCGACGATAATAGTACTACTTCTAAGTTTTTGTTTGAACTAACTTGCAATTTTATTTTTTTAATCCAAAGGGTATGCAATATTTACAACTTGTAAATTAATGGCAAGTCAAGGTTGTTGTGTTACCATGCATTTTGGTCCAATGATCGTATGGTATGCATAAGGATAACATCTACTAATAATAAGGGGAAGAAAGTTCCTACATAAGTAATTTCAAACAAAAAACCTCCAAAAAGAGGGGTTTACTAGGTCATGGAGTGATTCTTGTGTAAGGACGGCAACAAATGGAAGATTCTAAAAAATAAAGAAACACATAGAATTGAATGTATTTGAAATAATTAGATATATAGTACATTTGAAATGACTATATGCAAGGAACCATTTGTATTCTTTATATACAAGGAATTATTTGTATTCTTTCTTTTTTATCTTTTCCAAATCTTGCCATATTCATATTATAGTATAAACACCTCATCCAAATTCATAGATTTGGAATCTTTTCATCTAATGGCATGTTTACTAATTCATAATCTGATTAAGAGGAATTGAATTAAGGATTAGTTGGATTGTGAATAATTAGATTCTGAATTCCTATTGAAGTTGTTTACTCATATAAAATTAGAGTAGGAGTGGTACTCATTATTAAAATGTTCCTGTTGTTGGGTTAAAATAGATGATAAATTTAGAATTTTTAAAATTGTGTGATGATATAATGGGTAATAAATATGGATTCCTAATGGGTTAGTTCTCCAAAAATTAGAATACCACATCCCACACAAGAATCTAATTCTCCTGATTTTGTATGAACTCTACTCACTTTTTAATTCTTTGATATAAAGTAATCATAGAAATCATTAATAATTGAAATTCAATTTCTAATTCTAATTCCAATTTCTAATTAATAAACACACCATAAGTGGAGCATTAATGATTTACATAATTAATGCTCTAACAAGAAGGTTTTGAAAATTAGAGAGTCTTGAACGGGAGATATTATTACATCTGAAAGTTTGGACCACGTAAATGTGCGATCATTGTAACAAAAATTAAACTCTTATGTATTTTGATCTCACCGGAACCCACTAGTAGTCCCATTATTTTGAGTGTAGTGTACGGCAGTCGCACAGAAGAATCATTCAAACCAGCCCGCCATTCACGAGAAGATTGACTTGATGACCACTTCATTTTTGAGTAGCTCCGGAGGCCTGGGGTCGGTGAGTAATGAGAGAACCCTTTCACACTCTCTCCTCTTTCGTGTAAGTTTCCATTGACTCATTCTTTCTTGGTCTATGTATGGGACCCGCCACGCATGGGCTTCAACCAAGTTCATGCCATGTGTGACATGACAATGCATGGATGCCCTACTTTTTTAATTGAAAATATATAATTTAATAGTAAAAAAGAAACCACAGTAGAAGCAACTATGGATGGACCCCATATTTTTGTCGTGTTGCTATCTGGTGTGTGAGGAGATCTTTGTGGTGTTGTGCCTTTGCGCCGAAAGCAAAGACTACAGATTTCGAAGTCAATGAAATGAAGTCAGTCTCTCAACTCCAATTTCCTCCTTTTGCAACTTACCCTATTTTGTTCCGTACAATATAAACCTGAAATTAGGTTCTACTTGTTCTTCTTCATCTTATCTCGATTTTATGCCCGTTTAGTTCAATGTTCAGAAGCTTAGAAATAGGTGCGAAATTGCATTCTCATATTTGGTAAGTGCAATATAAAATTGCAATACTTGACTCATGGGTATGAACGTGAAAGTTTGGTAATCTTTTTCCCTAACTTGAAAAAGCTTTTAATGCACTTTTTTAAGACTAAATTATCCATTTCTAATTTTTAAATACCACTTTGTATTAGTAACTTTAAATAACGAAGTAAAGGGTGTTATTGGAAAACTCAACAACTTCACATTCATAATATTGTATAAACTAAACATGGAATGAGAGGAAGTGACATTTCCTAGTCTTCATTTCCCAAACATGAGAATGAAGATATTTCATTCCATCTCTACATCTTCCATTCTTATCTCCTTAGATTAGACATGAGAGTTTCATTCTCAAGAAGTTTATTCTGTAAACCAACACAGGTGTGCCTCACACAATGTTGATCATCTCTCAATACAATCCCCATTTATTTTGTAGGTTTAAGTAGATTACATGTATAAAAAGAACCAAAGCGAAAACGATTTAGTTATGTAATTGTGATCAAACATATAAGTGAATACTATTTTTTAAGAAAAAACTAGAATTGGAAAATTGCTATCATCCCTTACTTTTCTTTAAAATATGAATCCCCTTAAAAAGCTCCCTCGTGAAATTAGACTAATAAGCTAGAATTGGAAAAATTGCTACCCATAAACAAGTTGACCTAGGAAAATAATAGTAATGATAGTAGAAGAAACCAACCTCTCTTTAATTTTTTTAATTTTTTAATTTTTTAATTTTTAATTTGCCCCAAAACGACGAGGGTGACTTGTATTTTCACACCCAAAAAAAAAGTGTTTTCCAATGCGAATCTTTGTTTGTGAGGCAGCTACCTCACCAATGGGTGATTTCAATCCAATGTACTTGATTCCATCAAACTCCTAAAAAAACCTAGAACAAAACTCCTCCTCTACTTCTAACTCCGAGTCCCATAACCCTCTCCCTCCCTCCACTGTCGCTTTACGCTTGCACTTACTCAACACACACCTTCTCTGCAACTCTCCCATGGCTTCCACCACCACCAAGCCCTCCCCTCTCTCGTCCTCTGTCTCCAAACCCACACCCCTCCCTCTAACCCACAAAACCCCTCCTTCTCTCTCCCCCAAAACCCTCCCTAAACCCTCTTTTTCTATCAAAACCTCCTCTCTCTCACGTACCCACAAAGCTTCCTCCTTCACCCTCCGCTCCAAAAACCCAATTTCCGAGTTTTTCCCAGCAAACAAACAAAACCCAGATGGCGATTTTATTGATTACGATGATGACGATAAGCCCCGGGAGGAGTGTGGGGTCGTGGGCATATATGGCGACCCAGAAGCCTCTCGCCTCTGCTATTTGGCCCTACACGCCCTTCAGCATCGTGGCCAGGAAGGGGCTGGAATCGTGTGTGTGCAAGACGACGTGCTTCAGTCTATAACCGGCGTGGGGCTCGTGTCTGAGGTCTTCAATCAGACCAAGCTCGACCAATTGCCTGGTGACTTGGCAATTGGGCATGTTCGTTACTCGACTGCAGGGGCCTCTATGCTGAAAAATGTCCAGCCTTTTGTTGCAGGGTACAGGTTTGGGTCTGTTGGGGTTGCCCACAATGGCAATTTGGTCAACTACCGTGCCCTTAGAGCGAAGCTTGAAGACACTGGGTCCATTTTCAACACCAGCTCTGATACAGAGGTTGTTCTTCACCTTATTGCTATTTCAAAGCATAGACCTTTTCTTTTGAGAATTGTTGATGCTTGTGAGCAGCTGGAGGGGGCTTATTCTATGGTGTTTGTGACCAAAGATAAGCTTGTTGCGGTCCGGGACCCGCATGGGTTTAGGCCTTTGGTTATGGGGAGGAGGAGCAATGGCTCTGTTGTGTTTGCATCTGAGACTTGTGCACTTGATTTGATTGAAGCCACATATGAGAGAGAGGTGTTTCCTGGAGAAGTTGTGGTGGTAGATAAAGAGGGGGTTCAATCACTTTGCCTTATGTCTCATCCTCAGCCAAAGCAATGTATCTTTGAGCACATTTACTTTGCTCTGCCGAATTCTGTGGTTTTCGGACGATCAGTGTATGAATCCCGGCGTGCATTTGGTGAGATACTTGCCACTGAAGCACCGGTTGATTGTGATGTTGTGATTGCAGTGCCTGATTCTGGGGTGGTGGCTGCACTTGGTTATGCTGCTAAAGCCGGTGTGGCTTTTCAGCAGGGTTTGATTAGGTCTCACTATGTTGGGAGGACCTTCATTGAGCCATCACAGAAGATTAGGGATTTTGGTGTGAAGCTCAAGCTGTCCCCGGTCCGGGCTGTGTTGGAGGGGAAGAGGGTTGTGGTTGTGGATGACTCAATTGTGAGAGGAACCACGTCTTCAAAAATTGTTAGGTTGTTGAAGGAGGCAGGTGCTAAGGAAGTTCATATGAGGATTGCAAGCCCGCCCATTATTGGTTCTTGTTATTATGGGGTGGACACACCAAGTTCTGAGGAGTTGATTTCAAATAGGATGAGTGTTGAGGAAATTAGGGAGTTTATTGGATCGGATTCACTTGCTTTTCTGCCAATTGCTAAATTGGAGAAGATGTTGGGCAATCAGTCTCCTAACTTTTGTTATGCTTGTTTCTCTGGAAAATACCCTGTGGAGCCTAGAGAGGTTAAAGTGAAAAAGGTTGGTGATTTTGTGGATGATGGGTTGAATGGTAGTTTTGAGTCCATTGGTGGTGGTTGGGTTCAAGCAAACCAGACTCAGAAAGAGGAGAAGGATAAGGAATTTGAGGGTAGTGTTCTTTAATAGTGCTCGTCGACATGCCATTGCTTGCGGTGCCTCCAGTTTATGGTATAGGTGCTTTTTTTTTCTTATCAAAGGAGCAGAACAGGGAATCCATTGCAGTGAGTGACTGATGTCTTCAATGATCTAAATTATGGTTACGTGCTTCCTTGAATTTTGGGTTCCAAAATCCAAGACATGGTTCCTTTTCAATTTTGCATCTGATAATTGTTTGAATTTATATTTTCTTGATGATACACAGTTGGTTAAGTTGTCTGAATTCAGCTCTAACATTACCAGTTTTGTTAGTTTTTTTTTTCTGGTTCTAGCTTTGGTTATGTCTCTTAACCAGCTCTAAATTTTCTTAGATGCATTCCATCTTTTGTTTAACATGTTTGTTTAGTGAAAAGTTTGGTATAACCATTTTTCTTCTTGAAGTTTTTAACATCTATGGACTTAGATGCATTCCATCTTTTGTTTGTACAATGGTACTACAGGAGGATTGGCTATATCATATGTCATTGAAAAAAATATGAAACCAAGGTAAATTTTTATTATAGCATGATAATTATATTTCCAAGGACAATATATATGTAGCAAGATGAGTGAGAAATTAACTCAAAACTCAATTTTTTCCAAAGTTGATTAGTCATGGGACTTGGCAGATCTTGGCCTGACCTTCAATATACACTCAAACACGGACAGAAATGTAGAGATACCAAGTACCATCAAAGAATGGATGGAGATTGTTCTTTTTGTAGTCTATTTTATTGACCTTCTCAGGCGAAAAAGAATCGAATCTAATTTCGCATTCGGGAGTTGGGATGTGTTTCTTATGCAATTTCTCGCTGCAGACAAATAAAGTTCATTTTAACCCATCTTTTCTCTATTTTTCGTTTTCTTCAGGTGAACCAAATTTGGCAAAATTACAAATGCGCCAGTAGATAGATTCCAATTACATGCTACTACTTTATATCAATACAAAATAAATATTTTTAAAATAAGAATAATAGCGAAACACCAATATCAGATTTTAATCGAACAGCTTCAAAATTCAAGGGTCAATGGACAAATTGGCATCTAAGGAGAACTTTAAATTATGAACTGTTGGCTTCTCCTTTTTTTCCCCCCAAGTCAGGGCATACCTCAGAATTATTTGTGAGGACATTTAGCATATAGTGAATGAGGCATGAAGCATGAGGCAAGTAAATTAGATCTGGTTCATCCCCATGGACAATTAAGCGGAAGATCATCTGGTTCATACACGAGAACATCAAGAAGCCACAGAAAATCAGCCGTTTTCTGCTCGGTCGTAGGAATTGGATTTATGCTTTGGTGCAAATGTAAAGCCATCTGGAACCTTGCCGAGCAACATCTCAGAGATCCTAACCTGCAAGGGGAAGAATAAATAGAAATGCAATCAAACTACATGTTAATCAGGTTGGGTCAGTGGATCTGATCAGCTGAAAGAGAAGGTAAAGCCATACCCAGTCCGCAGCAGAATCAGAGGCCATTAGTGTCTCAAGGTCATCACGACCAAAATAGGACGGTGGGCGCCAGCTCAGCCGTTGAGGAATGACCTCTAGAAGGCCAACAGGTACATATCTACAAGTGTAGCTAAGCCATTCTAACAGAAAACGCCTAGTTGTCTCCACACCTGAGACATACGACAAGATAAAAGCCCGCAGAAAACAGAACTTCGATAAGCACAGATGTTGGAAAAGGTTTACACCATTTATTGGAAAACAAAGTAAAAAACCAACAAAACTGTTCAACATAATTTTATAAAAGCAACTTCCGACGAGGGCACGGTTGCTAAGTAAACTACAGCCAGTATGTTAAATAAACTAATAATACAAACCTTTAGTGTCAGAGCCCCAATGTTCAAGGCCAAGACGTACATAATCTTTTAAAATATTCAAACGCTCCCCAGAACTGATATCCCAGTGTCTCTGCTCCTTTATTTCAGTAAAAATCCAAGGCTGCAAATCACATGGATGTTTAGAACTCATAGGTTTTAAACATGGTTCAACAGAAACTTAAAGTTTAGAATATGCACGCACAAACACAAATGTAAGATGTAAATTTCAGGAATATACTACAACATAAATAAAGATGCATCGAAAAATAAACAAAAGTAGTTGTATCAGGGGGAGAAGGTTGTGGACAAGACAAAATGCAAAACACAGACCTTAACTAGTGCTCCTCGAGCAATCATGCATGTAGAAAGCTCAGGGCATTCAGCCTGGTGCTTGTTCCAATCTAAATACGAAAATATGTCTCCATTTCCAAGTACTGGCAAAGCATCAGGGGCCTTTCTGGCGCACTGGTATACGTATTCCCAATCTGCAAGCTTGCTGTAGCGTTGCTGTCGAGATCGACCATGTATTGTTACTGCACTGGCTCCCCAGTTTCCCATGTCTGCAATAAGCGAATCAATGCGATTTTTCCCCTCAAAATAGGCTGTCCTGACCTAGAGCAACAAGAAAGCAGCAGTATAATATTTCTTGAACAACCTTAAACACTAGAAGTTCACATAAGAAGCAATCAAGCAGAAAACACAATTAAAGCTAGAAATTGCAGTGAACGTCACATTTCGGAACCAAACAATTGAACAAAAATGTGACACATCCTTCAGCTAAAACTTGCTATCTTGCAAACTTATGTAGAATGTTTTGTTCATAGTTGCATAGAACTGGCATACAATTCAGTACCTTAATAGTTATAGGACAGTCCACTGTACCAGAAGCTGCTTGTACAATGCCTTTCATCCGCATTGGTTTTGTAAGGAGAGCTGATCCAGCACCTTTGTTCACAACAATATCTATTGGGCACCCCATATTTATATCAATAAAGTCCACCGTACATTCCTGATTTACAAGTTCAACAGTGCGTGCCAGAGTGTCTGGATATGCTCCACATATCTGAACACCGAACAAATCCTCAGATGAATGTCGCCTAAGAAGTGCCCATTCTGATGCTTGACCCTATTCCCATATGAAAATTGCAATTAGGAAAATGTGACATTGGAGGGTAGATTACAGCATTTACCAATTAAATTACAAAACCAGAAAGAAATAAAAAAAAGAATAGAAAAGGTAACATATGAAACGAAGAAAAATGATTAGCACAACTCCAGTTTAAAGCGCAAACACTGCTGATCTTGACACTGCCTATGTGTTGTGGCATACATCGTAGAGCTGTGGAGATGTAGCCATTTCTTTTCTTAGCAAGTCAAAGAGAAAATGAAAACGCATGCTTTCCGGTGCACGCTTGAGAACAAATATCAAATGACACCAATACCCATCTCAGGCAAGTTAAATTATCTGAACAAGCTTCACTAGCCTTAATGTTAAGTATAAAACTCCACAAACAACAGAGAAAAGATATAATTCATCTAGGGAATGGTATAAAGTACTATTTATTTTCACTTCAAATGATGAAAGTATTCTTTTGAAAGAATTTATAAAACTCAAATTTCCGATTGTGGGATGGTGCAAACATCGCGGATCATCACATTAATCACAGAGTGAAGTAGATGAGATCAACAGCATTGAGTGGCGTCATCAGGTGAAATGACATTTTTATGATAGTATGAGAATTCGAGATGATTTAGACTAACCATTAGTTTTTTTTTAAAAAAAAAATCAGAAAATGCAATTACAATAATCAGCTGGCAAAAGCTTAGAACAAACCTGCAAAAGATTCGTACACATTGCCATTTCACCACACGTTATATCTGCTCCTAACCCTTTGCACACCCTTCGGAATGGAAGATTTCCAACAGTGGTCAGAGGCGCAAGGTACAGCTTTTCTCTAAAATCAATAAGCTTCTTTTCACGTGGGTGTAATTTTAGGCTTCTATCACTTTCTGGTGATACAATATCAGCAGTAGCCTCTGGTTCAGGTGATGTGCAGCTTGGCTCAACCACTTCTGCTGTAGCATTCGCACCTATTGCAGTATAATCACCTTAAATTGGATGGACCCAACTATTAAAACAAAATAAAATAATTTAAAGAAGAAAAAAAGGGCTATACCTCCATCATCTACTTCACCAGATAAAATCTCCTCTTCAATTACAGATCTTGGCTTCTTCGAAGGCCGAGATTCCAATGAAAATGTTTCATCAACACCATTCTCCTCTCTTATTTCAGCAGCCAATTCCATTTTATCATCTGAGTTATTGGGCAATTCAGTACAGCCATTTCCGTCAGTAACATGACAGTTATTTGAAACAACCTGGTCATCCTTCTTATTTTCCAAAATCTTTATTTTTGAATTAGCATGCCCCTGCAGAAGAAATAATAGAAATATTAAATCCAAGTGAAAATCACAGAAATGCATGTAAAGCAGACACAAATTCCCTGTCACCACTATTAATGTTTAAGGCAAGGACAAAAACATGAATGAAAGAAGACATTTACAAATGTGGTGGCCGACTATCACTTATTATAACTTAGATATTTAATTATCCCTTTGCAGTAGCCAAAGGCCATTGCTTCACTTGAAACAAATTAATGTGATAAGATTGTGGCTTTTTACAACAAGAAAGAACACCAACATTATAATTACTCAGTAGATTATTTCAACTTAAAAGTGTAGAAGTTCCTGCGTCTTCAATTCAAACATTTAAGCAGAGCATTTTTCTATCTTAAACCTTTGAATTAAGGAGGTATGGATGTACAACTACACCTTCTTTTTTTTCTTCTTTTTTTTCCTGCATCATATTCAAAACCCATTCAAGCACCCCATACACCCCTCTACGAATTTAATTAGATATCATTTGATACCTTAGTTTCAGGGTGCAGGTAAAGTACCATGATAACAGAAAAGAACCACAATGAGAATTGTTATCATAGAAATAATCAAAATATAGCAGCATGGGAATCAAAACCAATAAATTCCCATTTGTACAAGCATACATATAAATGGGCACACACCCACACAAACATACAGATAGAGAGAAAGAGATTTAAGAAAACACGGATAATGTATGTTAATACCAGAAGACCAAGAGCCTTGAGTTTGGCATCTGCCTTGGGGAACTTCACTTTATTCTTCCACAAAAGCTTTTGAACATCTTTGCTTAATCCATTCATCTCAGAGCTTCTCCTGTGAGCGCTCACATCTCCAGCTTCAACGCCATCTTTATGTGAACCCAAGAACCTACATGCCAACCCATATGGGCATGTCTCTTGGGCAGTCATGAAAGGACAATCTCCCTCTATATCCTCAGGTTTCTACATTCAACAACAACATCGAATCCTTACAAGGGTCAATCGCCACATAACATTTTATTTACAAGAAAACCCAACGAGCCAAAAACTCAAAAACACTACACAAGCATTCAAATCCAATCTTCAATACCTGAGCTTTATACGCTTCTATGTCGTGGCTGAAGCGGCATTTGTCGTTGTACGGACACCGACTAACATCTCCTCTTTTTGCTACCTCAGGGCAGATGCCTACAGCCGATTTCACCGCCTGCAACGTTGAAGAAAACAAACTTGTCAAAATTGTCTCAAGCTCCCAGCTAACAACTCAAATTCCCATCCCATCCTTTTCTTTGATTTCAAATCCCAAATAAGGGATTCACTATTCTCGTATCGAAACACAAACCTGCTGGCGTTCGCGCTTGAGCTGCCGCTTGGACTTCTTCTCCTTCACTACGCTAGTCTGGGCAGGCTTTGTTTTCCCACCCGAAACGGCGTCGTTCTGCTCGTTAGAGCAAGCTCTGATAGGCGGAGGGCAAAGGAACTGTTTCTTCACGGGAGCTATGGACTTGGCTACCAGCTCCTCCGGCGTTCGGTCAGCCCAGCCGTTCGATACCTCTGGGACCGGGGCAGTTTCGGCGGGAGACTCGTCCATGGCAGACCGAGTTGACCCGTGCTACCTCGTTAGGGTTGGTTTAGAGTTTATTGGTATTGTTGGGGGAGCACCGATGCATTGGAGTCTGAGTGAGAGTAGGGTTTTGCTGGGTGTTTATGGAGACCAGGTGATACGAAACGACGTTCAAATATTATTTGAACCCCAAATGAAAACGTTACGCACTTACCGATAGGGGTGAACGTGGTTCGGTTTGGTCCGATTTTAATTCGCATAGGACTTGGAATTGATATTATTTAATTGTGTGCTGCTTCGTTTTAGTTTGTAAGAAAAAAAAAAAAAAAAAAAAAAAAAAAAAAGAAAGAATTTTTTCTATTTAAACTCTGCACTTCTTTTTGTTCACCCCAACTTCTAATTCAAATGTTCACAATTTCTAAGAAAATCACACTATCTTCTCAAACTACTCCTAAATATACACCCAGCAAAAAATAAAATAAAATAACTCATTAACCCCACACCCCACTATCTTGCCCCTCACAAAGAGAATTACAACAAGTCTTTGATCACAACATCCTCAATAATTCTAAGAGGAGTCCCAAACCAAGAAATAATGTCACATTACATATCTCAATTGACGATCCACAAGCCATTATTTGCATACAGTATTTAGGGTTTGTAAAGAGAAGATGAGAGTATAGTGAGTTTCTTGAAAGAGAAGAGTAATATGGCAATAGGATGTAGAAGAGGTCGTGTTTTTCTAAAACTTAATATGAAGAGTGGTGGGGTCTGTGGGGTGTGTGTGTATATATGTCTTCAAATCGTTCATTTCAAAAAATTGAAACCCTTCTTATTGGATGATCATGAGACTTCCCAAAAATCTAAATTCTTGATCAATGGAGGAACAATATCACCATTTTTGTTCAATAAGATACCAAAGTGGATAATTGACTCATTCCATACTAGAAATAATCACAGGAAATCTTTTGATAACATGGATTCCTATTTCTCAATGATATCCCACGATCAAGACAATTGGCTAAATCCGTGAAAGCATTTCATAGAAGTTCATGTATTAGGATTAAATATTAAGTTGGATGACCTTTTTTGTCTTTTTACACAATAATAAAACTTAAGAGTAATGATATATAAGTATTTGGGTGAACAAAGAAAAGTGTGGGGTTTAAATAGAAAAACTCGAAAAAAATTATGAAACCGGTTAGTCCGGTTTACATCGGTTCCAATGAGGTTTCTGATTTTTCCTGTTTTGAACCATATATATATATATATATATTATAAATTCCAACTAAAATTTTATTTATTGGGCTTAAAAATTCATAAATGATTCAATTTCATGCAAACAGAAATGATTGGGCCTAGAAAAGGTGCTTTGAAGTTAGGCTTGGGTAAATATTAGTTATGTGATTAGAAATTAAGCATTGGACTTAAATAATTTAAAAATAAATATTAAAAAATACGCAACCAGTTTAGTATGGTCCGGTCTGGTTTTATAAGATGTGAAATCGACATTAGAACCAATTTGAATAGTTCCGGTTCGGTTTGTTGACTCTTTAATAAAGTCAACATGGGTTTTTTTTTCCGGTTTTTTTCTATCCAATGTGGCTCAATATTCCGGTTTTCGGGTCTCGATACCCACCCGTACTTACGGACCAAAAAAGAAGAAAAAAAGAAAACTAAAACGAAAATTAAATGGTTATTAAATGGTCCTTAATGTGCATAGTATTTTCTTCAAAAAGTGGAAGAATGAAAGGAAAATTAGTATATAGTGATAAATAAATAAAAGTTTAATAATAAGGATATTGTAAATTGAGCATTTCTGTTTTGGGTTTAGTGAATGGATTTTAAATTTTGTTTTGAAAAAGCTTAATCAAAGGCCCAGATTTGTTGGGAGTGTCTAAATTATAAAAGAAAAATACAATTTACCTTTTTGTTTGAAAGCTAGGCCAAAATCATATGTGAGCCTCCCTCTCTGGACTAGAAAACATGGCAGCTGCAGACCCAATCATCTTCTCCAACTCACGAAGCAAATTAGAATAAAGGGCATCAACAGACAATTTCTGGATGGCCTCAAGAGTAAAAACTACTCTAATTTGAAACAAATTGACAGCCTCTTTATTTTGCATCTCCAACGAAAGATTTGAGAAAGTGGCAAGGTCAACAACATAATGGATATGATCAACCAACTTGACGTAAGCACATGGGCTTGATAGGAAGTTCGTCTTGAGCAGATTAGATATACATGCATCCCTTCCGAAATTGGACTTGTCATTCTTTAGACCTTCTTAGTCGTCGCCATCCTCACCTCTAAATGAGTCAACTACGCCGAATCAACTCCATGTTTGATTGCTCGTGGCTCTGTAGATGAATCACGATGGTTAGGTAGATGAGCAATCCTCCCAGTTCAACACCTCGTCGCACGAATGTTTAGGACCCCGGCAACCCTTAGCCATGTTCGGCCCAAGATCTAGTTTCTTGCATATGTCATTCTCTGCAAGCAGAAGACAAAAGTCAGTTAGTCACACATCAAAGAATTCAGACAAAATAAAAGCAAATTAGTTGAAGTATGACATACCATCACAGTAGGTGATGAGAACAAGTGGAGCATCACTGACCTTACCTTCCCACATACCACTGACCTCCAACACATCGACGTGCCATATGTGATCTCCTTGATTGAGACTGTCAAACAACTTGTCTTTGCATACACGGACTTGGGCATACTTCTCATAGCGCCTCACTTCGAAGAAGTAGAAGAACTATTGCACTGTCAAATCCATCTTGAAGAAACGGCTCAAATTCTCAAAACACATTATCGCCCGGTAGACATTCAAAGTACATTGGCTTGGGGCACACTCCATGGCGTAGAACACCTTCCTAAAGAACTTTGAAAATGGCACCGTGAAGCCTAATGAGAAGTAGAAATGACAGAATGTGATAATTCTGGCATCTGGTTCATTCGAGTCCGCACAATGTGCATCATCAATTGAAGACGCCGCTAGCTTGATATGCACATCATCAAGTATAGCAGAAGCATAGGTGGCACACTACTTCTGGAAGTGGCCTCAGACATAGCACGATGCAGATTAGTCACAAATCTTTTCTTGTGCACCTTGGAACCACCCCACAGATATAAGGGCACTTGTGAGCTCGGTGATCGACTACCTCCCTAAAAATATATCATAGTTGAACAACTGTGAAACAAAAGAAAAAAAATTGCAAGTCAAATTGCATATCAAAACCCTAGTTTGCAATTGACAAACAAAAAAAAAAACAAAAAAAAAAAACAAAACAAAAAAAAAAAAAAAAAAAAAAAGGGGGGGTGTGGGGGAGGGGGAAGAATTGGCCTTAGTCGAGGAGCAGCCCAAGCCCTGTCCGAAAGGCCCAAGCTGCAAAGTCACAGCCCAACAAGCCCACGAGTAAAAAAAAAAAAAAATGAAAAGCAAAAACGAAGAAGCCCAAGGCCCAAGCAAGTTCGCAACCTAGTAGTTGGTCGGCGCCGCCTCAGCCTAAATAGGCCAGGCCCATGTCATGGCAAAAAAATGGGGAAGAAAACTGCAACAGCAGATGCTCAACAGCCACCACCGCTGCCAGCTTCACTTCTGCCACCAGCAACAGACGTTGCCACTGCCACTGGTCACGCTGGCCACCCCGTGCCATCATGACGACAACTAGCTGGACCTACCCAACCGGTCCTTGCCGCGAAGAAAAAAAATAAGAAAATAAGAAAATAATAAATTCCTACCCTAATATGCACGACGACTCCTCTCCTCGACAAACAATACAAGTCTCCAAGATCTCTCTCACAAGGTAGAAAGTAAAGAAAACAAGTTTGCAATTTGAAGATGAGTGAATAGAAGCCTTGTATTTATTAAAGTTGGGCATCCTAGGTCAAGGAGGAATCACAAGCTTATTCCTATTGGGAGCCCAACTCCAAGAAAAAGTCAAAAGCCTACTCCAATTTGGAGCCCAACTTCAAGAAGAAGTCAAAAGCCTACTCCAATTTGGAGTCCAACTCAATGAAGAAAGACAGTTGGAAAGCCCGAAAAATATTTCTCATCTCCTTCATACCTCACAAGCGTCATGCAGAATTTTTTTTTGGGGGGGGGGGGAGCATAAATTTCACCGGATGACCTGTTGAAAAGGAATATTCCTTAGGCCAAACTAATTACCCTAATTAAATCCTACTTAATTAAGGGAATTATCTTCTTCTTTTTTTTATGATAGGAATATCTCCCTAAATCAAGGAACCAATCTCCACCAAATGACTTAGAGTAATTCCTATCATCTTTTTGCGGAAGAATAATCCTAACCAAATAAGGATTATTCTCCCAAAACCCTAGCACATAAGGAGGCTATAAATACATGGCTACACTAAGCATTCGAGGGTATCTTAAACCTAAATCAAAAACCGTACGCAAACCCTCTCTCTCTCTCTCTCTCTCTCTCTCCTCACAAGGCTAAGTCCTATCACGCATGGCTCTTTCCACCCAGCTCTCCCCGCGAGAGAAAACTCCGTCCAGTTAGCTTTTGCTATATCTTTTCTCAAATATCCAATTGAACTAACTTAGGCATCGGAGGGCCTTTGGCCAACACCCCTAGGTGTGGTCTTTTACTCATATTTGTTTCGCAGGAATAGAGGAAGAGAGCGAAGGAAGCTCGAAAGGTGAAGAATCTACATCCGAATATTCTCCCATGAGAAATTTGCACAAACATCTCCTATCTAATTATTTGACACATATCCACCAATTAACCATGAATTTACACCGGTAATTTAATAAAATCTATAAAGAAAAACCTAAAGATGAAAGAGAAAATAAACACCACAGCAGCAGCCACCACACCTCGTGACCACCATACCCCTTCCCCTTATTCCCCTTCCTTGACCTTTTTCCTTAGCCACAACGTCACTCTATACCAATATACCAGAACTCTCCTATACCCACCTCTTCCCTTCCTTGAAATTCCCTCACAACACCAACTTCGTCAAGACCATCCAATTTATTCAATAAAATTATAAGATCAATGATTCATGCCTTTTTTTTTTTGGTGTGTGCATGAATACCAGAAACCCAATTGAAACCCACAAACCAAGTTTGAAACCTAAATTTGAGGGGAGATGAGGGAGAGGAAGTGGTGGTGGTGGAAGCAGGGTGGTGGTTGTGTGTGGCTTAGGTGAGGGTGCTGACACCGATAAGGTTTCGTGTCTGGCGAGGTTAGGTACTTGGGTAGGGAATTTTGTGGCTACTCTTATTGTTTTGTTTTAACTTTAATTTTTTTTATTTAAATTTTATTGAAAGTTAACAGTGTTATTGTTGGGGTTAAGTGAGTGGACTCAAAAAATTATATAAGAGACACAAAAAGACATAGAAAATAAGGATAGCTCTCATTGGGCTCTACTCTGTTGGCGCAATTATGCTAATTGATATTTGTGCTTTTGGAGAGTGTCTTGATTGGTTTGAGCTTCGCAAGAGCTATCTTAATCACCTCTCAACATTTATTTTATGCTAATTTTAATTAATCTATTTATTACTCACGCCTGCTCTTCTATCAATCTCTCTTCACCAGACACTGATATTAGGGTTTGGATTTTGATGATAAAAAATAATAATTAAGAACATTTTATATTTAAAATGCTAAACTGGTAAAATGCCCCCTGAACATGTAGCATACTTTTGATTTACCCATTTTCTTTTTTATATAGAGGGATCTAAACTATTTTTTATTACCAATTTACCCTTACCTTTAATTTTCCCCACATTCCATCCAATTTACAGTTAAAAAAAGTTCAAAATCATTAATAATATAAATATATATAATATATATAGAGAGTAGGCCCACCCTCCTAACTCAACTCTATCTTTCTCTCCCTTTCTCCCTCATGGGTCACCACCTCCCTCACCAACCATCACCCATCCATTCCTCCCCTTACTAAACCTAGAGCTCACCGGATCTTGAAAACATATTGCTCCCATATCATCCAAAATGCACCTAGAGTCAAACCTGAATCATCCAAAATGCACCTGGAGCATTGACGTTTAAGGGGTTATCCACTGTGGCAATGTGCAGGTTCTTGAACGATGGTCCAGAATTGATGGACCCAAAGCTACATCTGTATGGTTATGGAGTGTTTCTGCCAAGTGCTTGTACTCGAGCAAAACTACTGAAGTTCTGTTAGGGAAGACAAAATGGTTTTACCAATACATCAGAAATAGCATGTGCCTTTGATTCTTATCCTTCTATTCTTGAACTTCTTCAAATAATTGGAAAAGGAGCAGTGTTGGTTGATTTATGCATTTAGGATGTCAAAGGTATGCGCCACTTTCTCACCTTTCTTCTTTCTGTGGTAATCTCAATCCACAGGCCTTCCATGGGGCCTAAACCCAAATATCTGAGCCATATTCAACATAATTGGAGACATTGGACTCACTCGGAAATCAAAAGTGTTGGTGGAAGAATTCCAAAAGCACATGGCAGCAACAAGTAGGTTCTTATCCATGTTTATGAGAGTTTGGACAAAAGTATCATAAATACCAGCTTGTTTCCAGTGCTTCTCATATCTTGGAGATAGCTTATCAAACCAATCAGACCACTTCACTGCGTTGTTCCTCACTTCACTAGAGGGGTATGATCTGCTCAAATTCTTGTTGACCCATGTATGAAAGGATTGAGAGGAATTGTGATAGCAAAGCGGGGCTTTAGCATCGCCCTTGAAAAGTATGGCCATTTTCTTGGGAACTTCTCCCAACCAATGAGGGCCTATGAGAAGTGTGTTCCCAATCATATGAAGAATGTTTTCATCAAGCTTGTTGTTCTTGGTATATGGATGAAGTTTACTCCAAATCTCAATGGCATTTTTGTCAACGCCATCGCTTGAAATATAGGATGGGGGAAATAGGCAAAACTGCGAGCACGAGACTTAGGAGAGGCCATCAGTAAGGAATTGAAGACATAATTAGGAAGAAATGAAGAGGTTAAATTTTTGAGTTTACTCAAAGAAGTGAAGAGGTTTCAAAGGTTTCAATTTGGGTTTACTCAAAGAAGTAAAGAGGTTAAATTTTTGTTATTTGTGATTTGAAACAGTAAAGGAGGTTGCAGCTTTATACCTTAAAGATGATAGATTGTGGGAGAATAAGAGTTGCCCAGAATTAACTAGTTGTTAATACCCACTTTCCCAAAAGGTCCGATCAATAAGCAGGTGTGGGCGGCTTCAACGGTTCAAAAGGGCTCACATTATTAAAAAGGCTTGTCATTTAATTCTTAAACCGTTTTTAAGAAAATGATTCAGACTTAGGGGACATTGTTTGGTCCTAAATTCTGTGCACCAGCCCAAATTGGCTTTTGGGTTCATTTTACAAAGAGTATTGGGCTTTGGTTACCAAAAAATGGTAAATGGCCCATACTATTCAACAAAATATATTAAATTGACTAAACTAAATCATGTTAATTTGATAAATTGAGAAGTAAGTTACCACCAATGGTGATATAATCCAAGTATCAAATTAATTGAATTAGTTTAGACCCAATTCACAATTTCTTAGTCATTAAGGTATATCAAGATTGATTCCTCACCGTTGGTGACTAAACTCCAAATAAAATTGATGACCTTAAAAGCTGGAATGAGAGGTCAGTCTTGCTTTAGTTAAGAATCACGGCTATTTATTACAAATTGCCGAAATATTGCTTCATCAAGATATTTGTGATAGTTTAAACTGATCAAACAGTCAAAGATCATACGATCTTGCAACAACCATAAGCAAGCAAGCAATCGAAATATTGCTTCAGCATGATATTTGTGACAGTTTAAACTGATCAAACAGTCGAAGATCATACGATCTTGCAACAACCAAAAGCATGCAAGTAGTCTTCATCATGAAGCAATCCAACTCAAAGGAGAGCCCAAACAGTCAAGGAGAAAAACAAGATTTCTTTTGCAACCCAGACAAGGCATTCCAACTAGAACTCAAAATAGATTAATTTCTCTTACAAATTTGGTTCAGCAAATTAGATAAATCAGGCAAAAGTCAAGTCTTACATCATATGAAAACCTCAACAAAATTTACAAAGAACATGTTAATGTCTTAAAATTGTCTAGAAGGCTACCAAATTACTCAAAATCAACCAAAATCGGTACCAGTCTGCAGTTTTGCTCACTTTTTCAGCCTATTTATGGCTCAACTCATTTATAGCTCTATCAACTTCAACATTGGTATCAATTTCCAACTAATCTCTATTAGTTGAAGGTGATGACGTGCAATTCCAGTGCAGAAACATCTAGTTCAATTAATAGAAGTCCAGTCCAATTTGATCTTAAATCATCTTTGTGATTGTATTTTTAAGCATAAGTCAAAGTCCAACAATCTAAGGCCTATCTAGACTTGGCAATTCATTTTGTGCTTTGTACTTCAGGCAGTTCAACTTGGACTAGTTTGTTATATCTTTCATAAATCCGTGTATGTTGCTTTACTTACCATTTTTATCTAGATAAATTGTTAAGTCCTAATCAGTTTGAAGCATAAAGAACTCTCTTGGAGTTTCCCCGCCCAAAATCACAATCATTTGTTTAAAGTCTATTACTTGGGGTGCAAGTATATAAACTCATTCAAGTCTGTTAGGGTATTAAATTGCAACAGTAGCACACTCACATAAAAAAAAAGTTAATCTTAGAAACCATTAATGGTTAAAAGATTAATGGGGAATTTTACTTAGCCTTCAACATGCTCAAATTCAAAAAGGGTGAACAGTGTGTGTGTGTGAGAGAGAGAGAGAGAGAGAGAATCAGTTCAAGTGGATACTGCATGTTGAATTTGCACCATGGCCTGCTGTTTCTCTAATGCCTGAAATTGTGCAGGCTGAACATGAATCTTTAATTGCTCTGACTTGGAAGGGTTAAGATCGCTTTGGTGGCCATGTCAATGTCTAAAAAGGTGGCTCCGCTGCCTTGTGTAGTTCTTCTTAAGAAAGATTTAGATCTGGAGAACAACGAAGATGATGTGGTTTTAACTGATTTTTGGTCCATAGTTCACACAATGTTAGCAACTCATATATGCTAATACCATTAAGATTTGTAATGGCCGTTTGGTAATCATTTCTTTTTTCTTTTTGCTAGAGATACGGAGAAAGTATACAGGAGAAAATTATGAGGAAAAGCACCGGTGCAAGTTTCTCTCGTCTAGGAGGCTTATTTCGGAGTGCTAACAGAATACACATATTGTGCCTCTTTTCACATCACCTCAAAAACCCAGGGGTTATTTTATTGGAAGCCATGGGCCCTAAATTTTTGCCGTGTGTTATATCCTATAGAAATAGGTTGGACAGAAGGAAGCCAGGTACAGTGCTACATGTCTAGTACCCTACAAATGTCTATGTTAACCAAATGGGCAAGGAAATACTCTTTTTAAAAAAAGATCTCCCTTTGATATCATTCAATACAACCACATGCCAATGAAGATATCAGTTAAATTTAGAGACAGGAGAGGGAGAGTGGGAAGAAAAAGAGAGAGAGAGAGAGAGAGAGAGAGAGAGAGAGAGAGAAGGCACCTAAACAGGAAACATACTTCCTTCCAAATTATTGTTCGTGAGCTACTTGATCGTTATGTAGCGATTTGTCCCATGTCTGGCCCAGTATTCCTTCAGATCCAGTGGTATTGACAGATCATGACCATCTGCTGCTAGCCGACTGAGCAATCTTGTAAAAACACTTCCACTCATCTTGCGCCCACCCATCCGGGCATGGCGCTTATTTGGCATCTGTGGTAGTGGATACATGGACATATGGGTGGTGCAACACGATGACTGCCACCCACCATTCCCCCATTTGTAGCACTGGCGTGGTAGTCCAGTGCATGAGCAAACTGGCACTGGCATTGTAGACTCATCAAAAGAGACAAGATTCAATCCCAAATCATGAGTATCCCACTCTGATTTATACTTTATCCCATCAGATGAAGCCTGCCTATTCAAATCTTCGCCTACTTTCTTTCGTGACGGCTTTGATGCCCTGGATGCCTTGTTCTCCTTTGCTCGCTTTGTCTGACGTGACTTGGCAGCTTCAGCAGATATAACTGAAATAGGGAAGGCATCGGTTATATGCATATCTTTTGTGCTGTAATGAGCCTCAGCCAGTGTAACCGAATGGTTTGAAGGGTGGTGCAGGCGCTTGGCTCCACGTTGAACTCCACCACCCAATGGGAAGTTCACAGCATTGTCCCGCATATGAAGGGCTGCAAAGGCATTGTCTCGTTCCATCATGGCAGTATCACGCTGAGCAAGTGCCTCATCTCGCTGACGGAGAGCCTCATCTCTTGCAGCTAAGGCTTCATTCTTTTCAGTAAGTGCTGCATTCCGTTCTCGAATAGCAGCATCCCTCTCAGCAATAATGGACATGATCTTCTTGTTCATGACTAAGGCATTTGGTTCCTTTGCTTGCTGCTGGGTCGCCATATTCCACTGCACATGTCAAATCTACCCCATTCAAATGGATCCATAATTGCATAATATAACAAAGAATAAACACCACATGGTAGTACATGCTTTCTTCTTACCGGAGAGGCTGCCCCTCTGTAATAGTCCATCTTGTGTCTCCCATTTTCATGTTGCCGACCATCATCCATTTTTGAATTATTAGCAGCAAGTGCTGAAATCAGTTTTAAGCCACTAAACATTTGTTAACATCTGGAATCAATGCTAAGCTACTATACAACTGTGAATTGTGAACGTATCACAGAGAAGCAAAGAATCGTAATCGCAGTTACAAACCCAAAACACATTAGTCTTGTCAAGAAGCACATAGAAAGGATTCTACATATAATCATCTTGCCAATTCACTAAACATTAAGTTAGAAACAAAATCCAGTTATAAAGGAAGAACCATATTTACTGAAATATTATCATATACCTATCAAATCATGTAGCAAGAAATATCTCAAATTCCACCCGAAAAAATGAAATATCTCAAATAGTGTGAAGAGTTGGCTCAATGATATTGGCATTTCTTTTGTAGCTTACTTCATTAGGAAGACAACAAAATGAAAAGGGTTCAACTCCCATTAGATGCTTACTGCAAATTACAACTGCTAATAGCATCACCACCTGAGTCCCTTATGTATGTCTTTCTCTCTAATTTTTATTTGGTAATGGTCCCATCCCATAACACTTGAGCTAGCCAAAAGAGCACCTGCCCATTGTTACTGGGGATTCTTAGGATTTAATCATCAAATCCAGTGTCTTGAAACCTGAAACTAATGCATAGTTTAGGCGGAAAATGAGCCAGTTGGACTTAAAGTGCTGTTAGTGAAACTTAAAGGACCTTTATTGAGTACAAATACAGTTAGCAAGAATGTGTTAAGCCAAGCAGCATGGATGATAACAATGGCAACAATCCTCATTGAGAATGAGTTCTAGTAGTTGCTGCATTCATACCTTAGCAAGTGTAATATATACATGTTAAGCAATCACTTTGACCCAAAAATAAAGTAAAATCCATGTTAAGCAAACAAAAAAAGATACTATTTTAACTTCGGAACACAAGAAGAAAATTAGAATACTTCAAAACTTACTCTGTCCTCTCCTGCTATCTGCTGACTGCATACCACGAATACATCCCCATGCTTAATACAGCTAAAGTAACAGGTACACAATAAGTCATCCAAACATGGCAAAATCTGTTGCGATTACCATATATTAGATCTCCTATCTGAAATGCTCAAAGAGAAAAAGGAAGTAAATAAATTAGTTGAAGGAGGCATACACATATGCAAGAACATGTAAATACTTTTTGTTTTGAAAGAACAGCATGCAAGCATGCTTAAATCAAAATACTAGTACACAAAAATTCCAGTCAGAGTGATAAAGAAGTGATTTAATCATAACTTCAAAGTACTACGTCAGTACACATATAAGGGCACCAAACACTAAAAAGAACCCCATCTGGTGGGGGTAACACCAATAAAAGAAATTTTTATAACTTTTTGGTGAAACTATAGTAGCACTAAATGCTTGGTGAAGGAAAACTAAGATACTTTCGAAGAAAAAAAACTGAAAACATATTTCCACTATTTCAAACTTTCGAAGAAAAATAAATAAACTGATATCCTTATCTCTTTTTTAATCATCCTCCCATCTTGCACTTACCCTCTCCTACACAGCAGCGTCCACTTCTTGAAAGACTCAAAATCATCACTCTAAAACCAACAACCAATTTTACTAATTAGCTTGAATTTACTTCCCCATAATCTAACCAAAGAAAAACAGACATTTTAAATACTACTTAGACACACCAAACTGAGCTAAGCGAATCCAAAACTAGCCAGTAACTTATGGTCTCAAAAGGGAACAACAAGTCAAGTCACTCATCAGAATGGTTTATATTCACTCAAAAGAAAACCAGTTACAATTCTAAGCAGCATGTTTCAGTTCCATCAACTTCCATTACATGAGCTCAAAACATTAAAAAAAAAAAAAAAAAAAAAAAAAAAAAAAAAAAAAAGGTTTCCTAAATCCACAGTAGGATTCATGTTTTCCCTTTCCACAACAGCTACTAGACTAATTGATTAAATAAATACAAATCTTAAATTCAAGTACTAATCTGTCTGTTGCATACACCATATAGGATGTAGCTTAGCAAACCAACAAACAAACAAGCACACACTCCCTCGCAACGTGCTAATATCCAAGAGCTAAAAGGACAGAAGAAAAAGTGATTCAAACAAGCAAGAGCTAAACATAAGCAATTACAGAATGCACAGCTCAATCTCAGTCAAATAGGAAGCTAACTCTGAGTAAAATCTACCATTTTTTTCTGGAGAATTTTTATTTTTGTATCAAACTGTAAATGAATGACAAATCAATGACTTCGAATATGAAGCGCTGGAGTTTCAGTGAAATTAGGTTTTCCAGCAGGAAATTCTGAATGAGGATCTCCGAGATTGAAGCTTGGAAGCTCGAAAGAATGAAAAGTGAACGAAAATCACTCACATAAATTTAAGAATCCGCATCGGCTCCGATCGATTCGCGTGCTTCGAAGTTGGAAGTTCGAAGAGTTTCCGTTTCTCGGTTTTTTATTTTCTGACTAAACAAACAGTCGCATAGAGAGAGAGAGAGAGAGAGAGAGAGAGAGAGGGCGTGGTACGTGTGTTTGGGTTGTGCTTCAATTATTTTCGGGCTCTACTGCACGACGTCGTTACGATTCCCAGCTCAAAACGACAGCGTCCCCATTTTACCCGCCTCCCATCAATTTAAGAAAAAATGAACAAAAATGGTGACCATAATTAATCTTTAATAAGATTTCTATAATTATAAATTTTATAATTAAAATATAATTTTTATTTACAAAAATACATGATTTTTGTAAACTTTTTATTTATAATTATAACTGTCGTTCATGAGATTTGAACTCATGACTGTTTGTGCAAATAATTTCGCGGGAGAATATTCGCTTCTAGATCCTTCAACCTTCGATCTTCTTTCTCTCTCTTCCTCGATTCCTGTAAAAAAGACTGGAGTAAGTAGACCACACCTGGGGGTGTTGGCCAAAAGCCCTTTGATGCCTAAGTTAGTTTGAGTGTTTGTAGGAAAACAATAGCTAAGCAAAGGGTACGGAGTTTATGTATGGTATGAACCGGGCAGCCGGAGCCGTGTATGGTGACCGGAGACGTGTGGAGAAAATATGGAGAGTGGAGAGGGAGAGAGAGCTTCGGGTATTTTTCTCGGGTTTAGGAGAAGGTTTTAGATGTACCTTGAATGATGAATGAGGTCGTCTACTTATAGGAGCCTCGGGGCTATGGTTTCGTGGAGAATATGCTGAGTTTATTCTCTACTAAAATTTGTAGGGATCGAGTCGGACTTAGATAATATCTGATTTAATGATATTATCTTCTTCTCTTTATTGAAGATAATATCTGAATTAAATGATATTATCTCTTTTTATGAAGATAATATATGAATTAATGATATTATCTTCTCTTTATTATGATAATATCTAAATTAATGGTATTATCTTATTAAATAAAGATAATATCCCATTAATTAAGATATTTATCCCGATTAATTAATTGGCCAGATAAACTGGTTCAATTAATTTAAGAGATAATCTTCTTTTCCACGTGGCGTGCCCTGATTGGAGACGAAAATATATGCTCTCACAAACGCCCCCCCCAGCTTCTGCATGGCGCTTAGGTGACATGTAGGAGATGAAATTGTTTTTTTTTGGGCTCACCAACTGTGTCTGGCTTTCTTCTGTGAGTTGGACTCCTTTTGCAAATCGGATTCTCAATTGGTGTAGGCTTCTGACTGTTGTTGGAGTTGGATTCCCAGTATGAATGACCTTGCCATCCCTCCTTGAACCGGGTTGTCCAACTTGTATAAATACAGGGCTTCTCTTCACTCTTTCTCACATCGCAAACTTAACTTCTCTACTTTCTGGCTTGAGAAAGATCTTGAAGAATTTGTACTGCTTGTTGAAGAGAGGAGTCATCGTGCATCCAAAGTAAGTCAAGCTCGTATATTTTTTCTTCATCTTCTCTTTTTTTAGGCGAGGACCAGCTGGGTAGGACCAGGCTGGTTGACGTCATGACTGGCGGTTGAAAACGGTTAGAGCTGCGGTGGCTAAGAAGAGGAGAGAGTCATCTGCCCCGGCGAAGAGCTCTTCTGCGATGTCAGTGGCTGATCCCAAGGTGGATAAGTCCAGCCCTGAAAAGGATGCAGGGGTGTTTAATATGGTCAAGACGAACTTTCTGTCAAGTCCATCCACTTATGCTTAGCTGGTTGATCAGATCTGTTAGGTTGGCGATCTTGGTACTTTCTCAAGTCTCTTCTTGAAAAAACAAAAAGAAGCAACATTTCATCTACTTCAAAAAAGAGGTGGTGGAAGATGTCACGGATCAGACAGGTGGAGTTGTTGAGAGCATGGCTGATCATGCAGATGTAGAAAAGACTGCAGATCAAGGATCTCTTGCTGGCATCTCGGAGTAGATGAAGACTCCTTTATTTCTTTTCAGCTTTTGTAGTCTGCTCTTTGTTTAGAATAATTGGTCTTGTTTGACCATCTTCTTTTTGTTCAATTCGCATAGTGTCTTGTGAACTGCTTGAGTGTTTCTACGTTGATGCACATTTAGCCTACGTCTAAAGACGTGTCGATGATAGTGGCTCGTTTGGCCTATGTCCGGAGACGTGTCGATGTGTGTGACCTGTTTGGCCTACGTCCAGAGATGTGTCGATGAGAGTGACCCGTTTGACCTACGTCCAAAAACGTGTCGATGATAGTGACCCGTTTGGCCTACGTCCGAAGACGTGTCGATGATAGTGGCCCTTTTGGCCTACGTCCGGAGACGTGTCGATGTATGTGACTTGTTTGGCCTACGTCTAAAGACGTGTCGATGAGAGTGACCCATTTGGCCTATATCCGGAGACGTGTCGATGACAGTGACCTGTTTGGCCTACGTCCAGAGACGTGTCGATGATAGTGGCCCGTTTGGCCTACGTCCAGAGACGTGTCGATGTGTGTGACCCGTTTGGCCTACGTTCAGAGACGTGTCGATGAGAGTAACCCGTTTGGCCTACGTCCGGGGACGTGTTGATGAGAGTGACCCGTTTGGCCTACGTCTGGAGACGTGTCGATGATAGTGACCCGTTTGGCCTACGTCCGGAGACGTGTCGATGATAGTGGCCCGTTTGGCCTACGTCCGGAGACGTGTCGATGATAGTGGCCCGTTTGGCCTACGTCCGGGGACATGTCGATGAGAGTGACCCGTTTGGCCTACGTCCGGAGACGTGTCGATGATAGTGGTCGGTTTGGCCTACGTCCGAGGGCGTGTCGATGATAGTGGCCCATTGACCTACGTCCGGAGACATGTCGATTGCTTTTATGAACACTCCATTGGAAAGAAAAGCTTTGAACTTGTATTGATGTCTGTGTGACTACATTGCTGCTTAGAGCCTTCTAGGCCAGTGGTCTGCCCCAGAGTGGTTGCCACACTTGCCGTCGTGAATTTTACAGAGAACCTCAAGTGTTTGAGGGTACTTTATGCAGGTGAGATGAGGGCCGGAGTATGATCTGCGAATGAGCTTGTCGTCTTGCATGTAATATCTCGCGGCTTTCTGTTGGACCTTCCTAGCTTCAGACTTATCCGTTGGCAGATTTCCATTCACTAAATAGTCGATGATGAGGTCTTGCTAGCTTGGGTTCTCATCAATCTGCATTGAGTCGATTGGCTCTATTTCTTCGATGCTTGGCCGGTCAAGGTGTTCAACTAGGATGGAGCGTCTGAACTGGGTGTCCAGTGCTGATCATAGGCTCACCAACGCATATGCATGAGTGTTCTCTGCTCGTGGAACTTGTTGGATGGTGAAAGTAGGGAATTCTTTCAAAAGTCCTTGAACTTTATCGAGGTACTGGACCATTCTTGGGTGCTTTCCCATGTACTCGCCTGAGGCTTGATTCGTGATCAGCTGAGAGTCTAAGTACATGGCCAATCTCTTGATCGATAGTTCTTTCGCTAGGCGCAGTCCTGCAAGAAATGGCCTCATATTCTGCCTCGTTGTTTGAAGCAGAAAAGCCTAGTGTGATAGCTTGTTCCAACAAGGTTCCGTCTGGGGTGATTATGACGACTATTGCTCCCGCTCCTTTGTGATTTGATGCTACATCTACATGCAACTGCTACATGTCGTTAGGTAGGTTCAAATCGGTAAGGGAGGTGTCGTCTGCTTTTTCCTTGCTTTTCGTGACCACCTTCTCTTCTTCGGTTGTCGGAGTAAACTCTACAACAAAATCTGTTAAAGCTTGGGCTTTTATAGTAGTCTTTGGCCGGTAGAGGAGGTCTTATTGACTGAGTTCAATAGCCCAATTGAGAAGCGTTGGGGCTGTGAAGGATCGATCTCAAAGGAAATTCTGTTATGACAATAATCCGGTGTGCTTGATAGTATGGCCTTAGTTTTCTCGCATAAACCACAAGCGAAAAAATGAGCTTCTCCATTTTCGGATAGCGAGTCTCTGCATCGAGGAGAGCTTTTGAAGTGTAGAATACCGGATGTTGTGCCCCAAGCTCTTCTCGGATGAGAGCTGAGCTGACAGCTGAGTCGGACACCGCCAAGTAGATGTACAAGTCTTCGCCTGGTATCAATTTTGAGAGTAATAGAGGTGAACTGAGGTAAGTTTTCAAGTTTTGAAAAGCTACTTCACACTCGTCATCCCACTTGTCTTTGTGTCCCTTCTTCAAGGCTTTGAAAAATGGCATGCACTTGTCGGTAGATCTTGAAAGGAAACGGTTAAGAGCTGCTGCCCTACTCGTTAGACTTTGTATTTCCTTTGTTGTGGTAGGTGACTTCATGTTGAGCATAGCCTTGATTTGATTTGGATGTGCCTCAATTCCTCTTTGGGTGACTAAGTATCCAATGAATCGGTCGAACGAGACTCCAAATGTGCACTTGTTTGGGTTCGACTTCATGTTGTATTCGGCAAGGTTCTCGATGTGGTCTGCTCGCTCGGGAGCTTTGACTAGCATGTCATCTACGTAGACCTCCATAGTCTTGCCAATTTGCTCATTGAATATTTTGTTCACCAGCCTTTGGTAGGTTGATCCGGCGTTCTTCAACCCAAAGGGCATGACTTTGTAGCAGTATGTACCTCTTTCGATGATGAAGGAGGTGTTTGCCTTATCGTCTTCATGCATCATGATTTGGTTGTAGCCGGAGTAGGCGTCCATGAAGCTTAGCAGTTGATTGCCGGAAGTTGAATCGACAAGCTGATCAATTCTTGGCAATGAAAAGCTGTCTTTAGGACACTCCTTTTAAGGTCGGTGTAGTCGACGCATACTCTCCACAGACCTTTATCTTTCTTGATTGCCAGCCATTCTACATAGCATAGAAGACTTCCTCAATGAAACCGGCAACCAGAAACTTGTCGATCTCGGCTTCAATGATGGCAACCCGCTTGGGGGCGAAGTTGCGCATCTTCTGCGCTACAGGCTTGATAGCTGGGTTGACGTGTAGGCAATGGCAAATGATATGGGGATCGATGCCAGGCATGTCGGATGGTGACCATGCAAATACGTCTTTGTTGTTCTTGAGGAAGGCTACAAGCTCTGCCTTTTCCTCCTGGCTTAGGCGTGAGCCGATCCGCGCTGTTCTCTCTGTCTTGTCAGGATCAAGGGGTACTAGCTCAACGTCCTCCTCGGGCTCCCATCCTTCTTCAAGATAGACCTCCGGATAGATTCCCTCGACTTGGTCTTGATTCTTTGATTGTTATTGGGGAGTAGTTATTCCCTTTCCTTTCTGGTTTGCTCGGCCATCAAGAACGGGATCTGCTTTCTCCTCTACTTGTTCTACTCCCTTTAGATTTGCCTGATTCATAAGGAGGAACTGTGTTTGCTTGCCTTTCTTTAGCCATTGAGTTGAGCATTTCTTCGCCATTGCCTGATCATTGTTGATTTGACCGACACTGCCCCCAAGGATTGGGTAGCGAATCTTCTGATGTATGGCGGAGGTGATGGCGTTGATCTTGATGATCCATGGTCTGCCCAGAATGCCATTGTAGGGTGAGGCTTCATCAATGACCATGAATGTTTGAGAGCTGATTACTAGTGGGGAGTAGACGTCGAGATCTATTGTGCCCACGGTAACCGTTGTTGCGCCATTGAAGCCAGTCGGCGACTTGGCTGATTTATTGATCTTTGTCTCTAAGCTCATCTGTTGGATGACAGCCAACTGCAGGATATTGGTTGCGATGCCCTCATCTGCATAGATTCGGTCGACCATGGCCTGGGCGATCTTAATGCTGATGACAATGGCATCGTTATGTGGCATGTCGAGGCCGATCAAATCTTTCTTTTGGAAGCCGATTACAGGATCGTCTTCTGCTAGCGGAAGGTCCGTTGAGACTTGGGAGATCATAGTGGCCTATTCGATCTTCCTCTTCTTTTCCTTGATGGTCAGCCCAGATTCCTCGGAGTCGGCTAGGATTTTGTTAATCCTTATGACCTTTTAGGGCGGCTCCTTGGCGGTGTCACGATCTTCAATCCGTTGGATGGCTTGCTTTGCAATGATTTCCGTGCAGCGACCTTCTTTCACGAGTTCTTCAAGGTGTGCTTTCCAAGCGAATCAGTTGTTCATAGTGTGTCCATACGTCCCATGGAAGGCACAGTATTTGCTAGTATCCCTATTGTCTAGATCTCCTTTCAAGGGTGGAGGTCTTCTTACCCAAGGTTTGTTTTTCACTTGGGCTAGGATTTGATGTATAGGGATGGTGAACTTGGTGTAGTTCTCTCATGCCTTAGCGTCCCCTTGTGGATGTGACCTGCAATTATCCTTATCCATCGCTTCTTTGACATGCCCGTTTAGTCGACTGATCTTCCTGCTTTGTAGACTTCTTTGCGGTAATTCGATCGTCATCCCAAAGCGCATAGCGTTCCACAGTAGCGTAGACCTCTACCAGAGTCTAGCTGGGAGTGATAGTCAGCTCGCGGTACAAGTCGTGTTCAGCTGGAAGACCTTTCTTGAAGGCAGATGACGCGATCTAGTCGTCACATCCTACAATGTTGGCATGTTCTGCTTTGAATCTCTTAATGTAATCTCAAATGGATTCGTCGGGCTTCTTGCACAAGTTGTACAGGTGGTCAGGGTTCTTCTTGATCGTCCGGTAAAAGGTGTACTCTTTGGTGAAGACGTAAGCCAACTCCTTGAAGCTACTAATCGACCCAGATGGTAAGGTGTGGAACCAGTCTTAAGCTGCTCCTCACAAGGTCATTGCAAACACCTTACACATCAGTGCGTCGTCGGCCTTGTGGAGGATCATGACACTTTTGAAGTGTTTTAGGTGGCTCTCGGGATCGGAATCCCCTTTGAAATGTATAAACGAAGGTGTTGAGAATCGTTATGGGGGAGCAGCCTGCTTGATTTCAGGGGTGAAAGGAGTAGAGATCGCCTGGTCCATCTCCTTACGTAGTGCATCCTCGAGGTTCCCGCCAGTCTTCAAGTCTTGAAGTCGGTCATTCACAAGCTTCTCAACGTCTTCCGCACACATTGTTGGTCGATCATGTTGGCAACCTTCGCGATTCGGGTGACGCTGATTGACCTCCTCGTTGGTCTGCGAGGGTCGACCCTCTCGTTTGCGCTGCCTAGAAGGCGTATTGGTGGACTGCGCTTGCGAGGGATTTTCTGTAGCTTGGCGACGAGAATTGGTTCTCCGAGAGCGGGCAGTGGAGTGCCTTTCTTCACTGTCCTCATTATGAGGGTTACCAAGTTGACCTCCCTGGGGGCCTAACCTTTCGTGAATATTTCTCTGTGAGCGGGCAGCGGAGCGCCTCTCTTCACGATCCTCATTGCGACGATTGTCAGTTTGACCTCCTTGGGAGCCTAGCCTTTCATGAACATTTCCATGCGGGCCCAGGCAAGCGCGGACGTCAAGTCGTGGGTCGAGCCTTTCTCGCACGTTGCTTTGTGTGTGGCTTGCAGATGCTTGTGACATGCCGGCAAGCTGATCACATTGTTGTCCCTTTCCTTATCTGCCTATTCCTGCTCGACCTACTTGGTACCCATCGAGCTGTCGATCGGTGCGTTCATCCATCATTCTCTCTTCGCCCGGTTGTCCAAGGACAATGTTTTTAACCAAGTTTATTTGGTGGAGGAGCTGCCTCATCAGATTGGTTTGGTCGTCCATCCTCTGAGCTAGCTGGTCAACTCTTAGAGGTGTATGCAGGAGCATGCGTCGAGCGTGGAGCCCAATTGCACAAGGGCTAGGGTTTCATTGGAGGTGTATGCAGGAGCATGCGTCGAGCGTGGAGGCAATGGAGGGAATGCTTGAAGTTGCTCCAAGACCGGGCCTAAGTCAGTGGTGGTAACGAGCCCACCTTGATAAGAGGTTCCACCATGCTCGGTGGTGGTGCCAGGGAGGTCACTAGATTCGGCCGCGGGTCCGGTAGGTGGCACGGTGGTGAGAGGTGGTGGTGCCACCATGTCGATCGCGAGATCGTGGGTGGAGTGGCTTTGGGCCGTCACGGATTGAGCCATCGCGGCGGTTTTGCTCCTAAGGCGTTTGTTTCCAACCATGGTTGTTTGGAAGGCTTCGGTGGATTGGAAAATAGGAGGAACGGATTCCTTGAGCACACGTTGAGTATAACTTGTCCTCTCAATGAAAGCACCAAATGTTTGTGCAAATAATCTCACGGGAGAATATTCGCTTCTAGATCCTTCAACCTTCGATCTTCTTTCTCTCTCTTCCTCGATTCCTGTAAAAAAGACTGGAGTAAGTAGACCACACCCGGGGGGTGTTGGCCAAAGGCCCTCCGATGCCTAAGTTAGTTTGAGTGTTTGTAGGAAAACAATAGCTAAGCAAAGGGTACGGAGTTTATGTGAACCGGGATGCCGGAGCCGTGTGTGGTGGCCGGAACTGTGTGGAGAAAATATGGAGAGTGGAGAGGGAGAGAGAGCTTCGGGTATTTTTCTCAAGTTTAGGAGAAGGTTTTAGATGTACCTTGAATGATGAATGAGGTCGTCTATTTATAAGAGCCTTGGGGCTAGGGTTTTGTAGAGAATATACTGAGTTTATTCTCTACCCAAATTCGTAGGGATCAAGTCGGACTTAGATAATATCTGATTTAATGATATTATCTTCTTCTCTTTATTGAAGATAATATCTGAATTAAATGATATTATCTCTTTTTATGAAGATAATATCTGAATTAATGATATTATCTTCTCTTTATTAGGATAATATCTAAATTAATGGTATTGTCTTATTAAATAAAGATAATATCTCATTAATTAAGATATTTATACCGATTAATTAATTTGCTAGATAAACTGGTTCAATTAATTTAAGAGATAATCTTCTTTTCCACGTGGCGTGCCCTAATTGGAGACGAAAATATATGCTCCCACAATGACATTCTCCAAAGAAGTGAATTTTGACGTTACAAGACCAAATAAACTAAGTTTTCTTAAATCCGAACTCCTTTTAAATACCTGTTTCTTTTATAGTATATGTTCAAATTCATGGAGATTTCAGTACCGCAACAATAGGGTTGAAAATGACAAAGCTCGAATAGTATGTTCTAGAGTTCTGAAAAGTGAGTTGCTTTACTAGTATAGTAGTATGCTGACAATATAGGTTTGATGATGAACTTCCAATAGTATACAATATACAGTTTGGAATTATAAATTATGATAAATATCAGTTTACTGATACCTCACTATATAATATGAAATTATAAATTATTTTTTAGCATTATTGATTTGGAGAAATATGAATTCTAGTGTCAGGGGCTAAGGGATACAAGGGTACGTCTCCAGAAAGATACAATGCAGTTACTCGTGATTTTTTTTCATTAGATTTTCGGGGGGAAAGGTCTAGTTGGGTTCGATTCCCATCTCCCTCTAAAAAGCCCCTACTACCTCCTGAGCTAGACCTAGACATTGGAAAATTCCAGTAAAAGAAAAGAATCCGTGCTCCCTGGCAGGCTGTGGTTGGCGAAATCAGGAGGCCCTTTATCGTACCGAGGACACATGTCGCATCCAGAATCCCACATCAAAATATTAAAAGAGCCCAAGTGAGTTGTAACTGTAATTTGACACATTTATAAGTTCATTGTTGTAAATTGTAATCATGATGTTAAGAAGCAGGTGGATCCCATGGAGAAAATAAGAAATCAAAATGCTACACAAACTGAAGTTACTCTATCCTCAGTTTTGACAAATCTACTGTTTTTATCCAACAATACAACATCTGAGATCAGTACATAATTTTGTTATATTCACCCAATCTGTGGAACATAAGTTAAAAAGTAACACATGGTTTTCACAATCCAATCAACCCCTCAATGAGTATTTTTCCCTGTAAAAGGCTGGAACTTCGGGTCTTCTTTCTTTTCGGCCTGCTCCTCTTTTTTAGTCTCCTTTACAGCTTCCTGCAGAGTTAATTATAAAATGAAATAAGAAAAGTGCAAATGATTTACAGTCAGCTTCGGACTGGGTTAAAGTTTGTAATATAATTCCAAAGAAAGTTGATGGAAGTCGAAGCAAGAAAAGTGAGTACCTTTTGTGTTTCCTTTGGAGCACGGTTGGCATTTCCTCCAAAAACAAGCTTTCCCTGAGCTTGACGACTGGTAGCTTGTGAACTAGATCCCATTGAAGGCTGTGCATTGCCATTGGTGACCATAGGTTTCTTGTCTTTTGAACCTGAAGAAGAAGCTGGTGCCGGCTCATACTTCAAAGGCTTCCCATCCAAGCGTCTCCCAGCTCCAGTAAAAGGGTTGAATTTCGGCTCTGTCTCAGCAGGATCCTCTTCAACTGCAAGACAATCATATAACTCCTAAATTAACTTGGACAATGGAATAGTTAGATTAGATCGAAATACATGGAGTAATCAAAATTAAAGGCAGCGCAAGCTATGTAATTTCTGTTACTTGAAGAAAACCTTTAAGAGTCATCATTGTATGCCACCATTTCATATTTTCAATTTCAGACCTTTGAGCAGAAAATTTTGTAAACATTTCACAGAATCTCACAATTTACTGGAATTTATATTGCCGAGTTTCTTTTTGGTGAATATATTCTACCAGGTAGATGAAGGTCAGAAAACTGGTTTTTATGGGGATTCTGTCAAAGACTCCACCAAAAAAGCTCTAATCACCAAATATTTGTCACCAGTTGTAGCAAACAATGTAGATAATTCTTAAATAATTCGCAGAGAGAGGCAGGGCCAGTGGCAAGTGAAGTTGGTAAAACTCACGCAGTTACCAAGTAAGATTCTTCCTCAATAAAACTCCCTAGTAAGATATTTCAATCAATACCTGTGTAGCCTCTAGAAGTAAGTGCATCAAACGTATCGTATAATGCCCAGGTATAACTTCATTAGAACAATGTTTTTAGCATAAAGCTCACATATAAGCTGACTCAATCTCAGGAAAGAGCATGGACAGGAAGTAATTTTTTGGGAAAGAAAAGGCCACATTATAAAAAACAGCAAATGCCAGAGATACTTGCGGCAATGAGGAAATAAAGATGTACCTTGAGCAGCTGCCTTGTTTAGAGGACCAGATGCAACAGGCTTTTCTGGTTCCTTATAGTCAAGAGGAGGTGCAAAGTCCACCTCACAGTCTGTCTCAATAATACTTATTGCGTGAGAAGGCTTTGCTTCTATAATATCTATATAATACTTCTTGTTGTTATATGCTACCATAATACTATCCCCCGTAGTTAAGCAAGAAAAATTCCTGAGTGTTGTCTCCAAGCTGCATGAAAAACAACATAATCAACTTCTTTTACATCAGATAGTTTACAGAAAACTTAGCAAACAACCTGTAGAAATTATCTGTTTTAAAAAAAGATAGTTTCCTGGAATGAACATGGAACAGCTACTCGGCATAAAATAGACACACCACTCACACGAGATACTTGCAAAGAAAGGCAATATCTCAACAAAAACATGGCAACAAATCAAATATGCATAATTAACTTGTTTGTTGCCCTCTAAGAAACAGCTCATATCAATTCATTCCTCTGCTATAACACTGATTTTATTTCCTCCTACAATAATCCTCCTCTAGAAGCAAACTTTTCCTCCTACCTCACACAAATCGAAGAACCCATAATCTAAAATAAGGATGAAATAGAAAAACCAAAACATTCCTAAGTTCCATGCATGCCTAGGGTCTCCGAAAATAACTGAAATGACACAAGTGTAACACACTGCAGAGCCATGTTGAAAATAACACAACCAAGTTTAATACAAGAAAACAAAGTGAAGCTCACCTTCAAGAATCCCCTTTTCCAATATACATACATAAATGAATAAGCAATAGCATAATAAACATTAACTTACATCGCTTTTGGATTTGAGATATCTAGAAAGTCCTTTGTATGGGGTTGCAATTTAACATATGTTCCCTTTGGAAGAGTCACATTTTTCACTCGCACAATATCACCTTCTTGCAAAAGCATATTCTCCATCATCTAAGTATAGCCAATTCAAAATAGAAACAACTCAAATTAAAGATCAGAAGACATTTTGGCTACCAAAAACAACCGCACAGTAACTTGTTCAAGTTAAGCCAGGCATAAATTCAAACTCACTGAATTCTTACCCAATAAGGCATATAGATCATGCCTTCTTCTGCAATGAACTCCAGCACCCCACAATGAGAGACCCGCTCAGCAGAATCATTTTGAAGCTCAAACAACATTGGATAATCAATATGTAAAGATGCTGCATCATGTTCAATATAAGCACTCTAGATCAGAGGTGACACATATTACAAAATAAATTAATTTGAAGTAGAAATCACCAAAACAAATTACTAAAGTAAAACAACTAACCAAGGCGATCAAGGGCTGAGGGAGGCATTATAACTGAAAAAACAGAAAATAAACAAATCAGGAATACACAACTGAAGGAAGAGCTAACTAATGAAACTGACAAGACATTGGAGACTTACTTTTATCACCACTTTCAATTTGTGGCTGCAAAACAGAAAATATAAATTGATATCAGATATAGGACCAACAGGGAAAGTGTACAGGATTTGGCTGCCTTAAAACACTCCCCAGGGGGATATTAATCTTTTATTATTTTCTCTTAAAAGAAAAATATCTCCAAAACTGAAAAAATGTCTGAATGGGGAGGGGGGGAGGTGATCCAGTAGACAACAGAAACCTAATAATCAAGTGTACATTCATCATGCAACAGTAATATAATTGGCGCAGAAAGCCTTGCACAGAGTTATATAGAACTGATAAAAGAGCTGTATGACAGTTTAGTAACAATTCTTAAAGAAAAACGAAAATAAGACAGCATTCCAACCTTCTCAATAAAAGATGCAGGATAACATCGATATGTCTGCTCGAATGAAGTCCCATGATACCCATAACCATCAAAATACTGCAACATTACAGAATAATTTTTATCAAAATTCAAGGCTAATCCAGGACAACAGGTTATAAAACTTTCATGAAATCCAAATGAAGAAAAATGAATGAGAAAAATCTTTTCAAGTACAAACGCCAACCAATATACAGTAATGGTAGCTGTTAACATCTTTATTTCATAAACTGAAATTTTAAAAAAAATTGTGCCAATAATATATAGTTTGGTCTGCAATAACACATGCCCATCATCAATCTAAACGAAGAAGAGTCCATAACCAGTAACTTCTTCGAAAACATGAAAATGCAAAGTAGATACTAAGCCATGAGTTAAACTCAAAACCACTCAAGCAATTATTATCTGAAACACCGAATCAGTGTTACTCACAGTGAGCCAAGGCCAAGGACTTCGCATTAACACATAAAACATTGTTTTAACTAAAGAAGGAACAAATATAAACAGTAATATACTCTTCCACCCAGAACATCATCACCTACCCATCGGTATCAAGTGCCTAAACAGTGAAAAGTAAAACCTTTTTTTCTTATTTTTGGATAAATACTTATATATATGCTGAGCTGAATTCATACCATATTCACTGCGTATGGATTTGCACACTGGCTAACAACCTCCAAAAGCTCCCTACCAAAAAGAAAAGAAAAGCACAAGCTTAAATACTTACACAAAACCCAACAATTAATCCGTACATAAATTTTTCTACCCTAACAAGAAATTAATGCCCAGATCATAGTAACAAATATTGAAAGTTTCCAACTTTTCCAACTTCTATCAAATTTTCCTTAGTTTTTCTCATTGTACTCGGAGCGAAAACTTCAGGCTAGAGTAATCAAATAAACAATTACATTCATATCAGAAGAAAGATATAATCAATATATTGTATTAAATTTCTAAATACAGATAATTGATCAATGTCTTACTAGTGCAGCAACCCAAAAAAGGGGAGAACTTCAAATACCCTTTACTCAAAACTGAACCCAAAAGCAACACAGTTTTGACCTTTCTTCAAAAGAAAAACATGTGGTCAACAGAGAAAGCTCCAAAGCTTGATGGGTTTTTGCTGGGCATGCAAAATTTGATGGATCTAGGATTTAAATAGATTATGAATTGGAAAACTAAACGAGAAACAAAACGGTAATTAAGTGGAAAAATCGAAGGTGAGAATTGCGATACCGTCTGAGGAGAGAGAAGAGAAGAAGACGATCAAGTCACTGTGTGTTTGGTTGTCTTTTGATCTCTCCGGGGAGATGTGCTGTGGAATGTGTAGAATACTAGAATTAGACAACCGATTGCGCAAGAAAAGGCTAAGATGCACCTCTGTGCGTTTGGTGCACGCTATGTTCACTGTCGGCCTACAATCCAAGTCCAAATCCAAATCCAAACCTAAATCTAAGTCCGATTCTAATATGGATATCATTGGGCCTGAAATATGGGATTGCATATCAAGGGCAATGGTTCATGCTCATCATCTTGGTCGTGCTTTTAGCCAACAAACTTACCAAAAATTCCACCACCCACCCCGCCCCACGAAAATTTTAAGACGTTTTTTTTTTTTTTTTTTTTTTTTTTTTTTTTGGGTACTTCTCCTGAGAAGAGTAATAACATATTAAACTCATATGCGCTACACGGATACTAGGACTTGAACCACTACAGTAATGAGTCCTTTACATTTTCTATTTTAAACAACACACTAAAATACATTGTAAGGTGCGCGTCAATGCAATGCATCGGTGAATCGCCTCAAGCTTACAGTTGTTTAGCTAAGGTAAGGTCATGGAAAACGTATGCCTTGACAACAAGATGTTGTAAGGCAGTGCAAGGCGCGTACTATTTTATAGATATGGCACGAGGCATTCTTTGAAAGATATATGAAACTCGCAAAGGAACGAGGATATCTGAAACGTTAAGGCAGTTTACTAGAAATTAAAAGTGGAAGAAAATGTCATTAATTCGGAACCCTAGTTTCCATGTGAACTCTTGTACTTTGTCCTAGCAGTTAAAAGACATCCAAGGTGGTAAAGTTATGTCAAAAAATTTAGGATATCATGACACAATTTCACTACACTAATCCCTCATCCTATCCAAGATGTGAGGCTATCAAAGCCCCAATCTGATTTCTTCCAAGAAACTGTGCTCAGAAACACAGCCAATCTGATTTCTTCCAAGAAACTGTGCTCAGAAACATGAGATTCAATAGACAACAGATTCAGACACCTTTGCAGGAGTAACATAATGCTAGAATCTTAGGGCTGAGGCCAGAGGTATGAAGAATCCCACTATCTCCAAATCCCTTAGCTGAGGACATTTAGATAAGATGTTTTATAATCACGCAAGAGTTGACAAAGAAATTCTAAATAAAGCAAAGCAATTCATGTCCACAACAGTAAAAAGGCTAATATGCTGTGACAAGTAGATTGGTTATCAAGGCCACAATAGGATTTATAGTAACGCAAGGCATCATGAGAATCGGGTTCAGTCCAGCTAAAATATATATGTGAATCTTCAGAGCTGAATATTCTCATTCAATCTTAAAGATATAAGATCGTCTTCAACGCTTGGTCCCAACCGCAAGTGGATGAAGCTTTATGTTCAATTTCATAGAGACGGATCATCAGCTCACTACTAGCAACACTGATATTGTCTCTAATTTAACCACCAACAAAGCCCAGTAGATGTAGGATTTTATCACAAAATGTATCGGTGCTATTAGGAGTAGAACCACTTATTAATTTATCTTGTTAAGTTTTCAATTGGTAAACAATAAATAAAGCTGGGGCCTCAAATTTTGAGACCGTAAAGTCGAAGGAAAAAACTGTTTGAGACCTTATATATAGATAAATAGTTGTATTAAATTTGAGTTTGGAACCTTTTGGAGTGGAGATAATCTCGTAATGTTATTGTTTAGATTCCTTTCCGTTGAAAACAAAAATAGCTTGGTAGGAAATAGATTCAGGATTATAGGGGCAACCGACAGACAAGTGATCTGTAGAAGATGGCGTTAATTTAGGAGCTCCATTGTGAACTGGAGGGAACAAAAATATCATGAAGGATCTTCACTTTGTTCCAAAAAGGCTGCATTATGCATATTCCATTACCAAAATCATAGTCCACCTGCAAAGTGCAAGCCACCATCAACAGAATATCAAATCACAGCTACAAAATCTGAAGGGCATCATCAGTTGATAGAACCCAAATGCAGAAAAAGAAAAAGGAAACGATAATGGAAAATATTCAATTCATTTCTACAAGCACACTCATTTGTGTTACTCAAATTGAAGACAGCTAGAATTCTTTTCTAGTTACTCTTCGTTGTTCTGTTCTTTTTTCTTCTTTCTTTCCTGTCACTACAACCCAATATAACTCACTCACATGCATATTGGTCTCCCAATTTACTCCATTTCGAATTTCCATATAAAATTGTATTGTTTGGATTTATAATTTATGACTGTCTTTTTTTTACAATATTCAGTTGCAGTTTTTCCATGTTTCTAATCATAAATATCAACATAATTCTGTTGCACATCCAATGTACTGGAGCATTGTTTTATCAACGGCACGATTTTAATCTTTTAATTCAATAGCTAAAACATGCAACATACCAATGCATTAGATGTACCATACTTCAATTGAATGTGGTATTGGTCAGTGATCATCATCGACTGAGCCAATTTAGTTTAGACTGATTTACAAAAGCTCAAAACCGCAATCAAATATGAACCATTACAGTCTGGTTTAATTTTGGACTATTTTTACCACTTATTTTATGTTCAAATCTAAACTAAACCAACCACTACACTTCGGATCAACCGATTCAATCGGTTTGACCAGATTGTTGCCCGCCCTTATAGCTGATTGCTTCCAAGAAGATAAGCGCCATATATAATTTGTATACCGAAGTTGCATAATACTAATTAACCCCACAAGCACTCGTGCAAACTTTAGTGAGTTTAATACTTTGGATCCTCTCGAAAGGAGAGCAAAACCCTATACTTAGGAATTCCAGCCGCCTTGCAGTTGTGTGTGCCCTATGTTGGTTTGTGGCCATTATGGAATACAAGGAATGAAGTACTTTTAGGTTTTGAACCAATGCCCGTTGAGAGAAGTCTTATCTGTGCAAAGAAATATGATGCTGAATTTTAACAATTCCATTTTCTTCATCATAAGAGGCTTTCTTTGTCAATTCATAAACAGCATTGGTGATGGTACCCGCAATAGGATGGTTATTTTAAATTTGTTATTGTTGGTGTGATAGATTTGTTTGTGTGAGTTTGACTTTTATTAATCGAAATTATGAGTGGTATTCTTTCCTCCAAGAGGTTTTATCCCATGAGATTATCTCCTATAAGGTTTTATCAAGGCAACAGTTAACATGTTGGTTCTCACTCTATACTGTTTCATGATTTTTTTTAATGGAATATATTTTCGTATTAAAAAAAAAAAAGTTGCAGAATACGAATCTTATTAGCAATAGCATCTCATCTCTGTGTGCGCTAAGCAGAGACACCAAGAAATCTTGACTCGGTGCCTAGTAATCCTAAAGCTCGACGACATTTGAATAGAATAGGTGACCACTCATGAACGAGCTTGACAAGGAAATTCAAACAATGCATGTCTACAACAGTAGGTTTTTTGTCATGCATGTCTACAACAGTTAAAAGAGCAATATTCTCTGACTAAAAAGTAACCAAAGCATGAGAAAGCGTGAGAATATGGTTCATTCCAGCTCAAAAAAATCTACGTGTGAATCTTCAGAGCTGAATGAATATGCTATCTTCTATCTTCAAAAAGAAAAATATGCATGTGATTTGAGAGCCTTTGCGATTTTGTTAATTTGTTGGGAAACAGAGTCTGATTCAAAGAAATCAGAACAAAATTCCAAAACATCTGTTCTTACCCATGCGAGAGCTACAAAATCCCCAAAATTGGCGGAAAATCGCAGCGAGCAAAACACGGCATGTGTGTCCATCTAATCAGTCGACATTAAAATTCATTTTAAGGAGCTCATAATAGAGGGAACCGACCAGACAAAGCAATCTATAGAAGATGGTGCTCTCAGTATGTGCCCAATTGTGACTTAGAGGGTACAGAAGTATCATGAAGGATCTTCACTTTGTTCCAAAAAGGTTGCATTATTAGAGCACTTCCACTCATTTGTCATGGCAAAGGGCAAGGGCAAGGCAGGAGCTGTTACCATTCACATGAATAGTGGCAACCCTTGCAAAAGTTGGTGATGTTTCCACCCATTGCTATGACAACCACTATTCACATGAGATATGAGGAAAGGAATTTGTATAGAGTTTTGGCATGGGAAATGAAGAATATAACTAAGTATTCATTTTATTTTTTAAATCTGAAATTTTTAATATTTTTTTAGATTTTTTTTTAATTTTTTTTGTTGCTAACGTTAGCAAACACAGGCAACATCTCAGACTATTCTTGCCTTTGGACTAGCCTGGTTTGCTAGGACCCATGAGCTGCCAGGGCTGTAAAAGCCTGTTGGAACTACAAATTGGGGCAAGGCCCCTTGTTGCCCAGGCTGGGGGGCACCGGTGGAGATGCTCTTATGAATCTCCCATTTGGGTAGGGCAAAAAAGAAAGGATAAAAAAAAAGACACAAGATCAATCCCATGCCTGGGTAGGTCATTGTTCTACAAGCATCTCCCAAGTCCTACCACTTTATTTTCAAGAAAGCAAATCCAAATTTTGATTTTGATCTCTGGCCAAACTTAACATACAGAGACAGATTGAGGATAGCAAAATAGTATTATCCGTGTTACACACAAAGTGTTTCTCCTTACATTTTACAGTTGCAGTTTTTCCAAGTTTCCAACCATAACAACCTGCTGCATCTATGACTGGAGATTGCTTAACAACCTGCTGCATCTATGGTATGTGTGCCTCACAAGTCACAAGACTGACCACAACCACCAGTCTTTGCAAATAACATCACAGCCAATCTTGACCACAAATGTCTTGAGGCTCCACAAGCCTAAGCAAGCCATACACAAGCCCACAAAATTGTGGTCATGGTCAACCCAAAGGCAAGTCCTTCGTCTCATCCAATCATGCAGAAGAAGCAGTTTATTCTACATCATTTTTGTATACTTAAAAGCAAAAACTATTCACCCAAAAGACAGAATATAAACACAACTACCAGAAGACCCCACGACCCATGGTCTCAGAATCTCCTTATCCAACCCTTTTCAAAAGACATTGACCCCATTCTCTTTATTTACTACTTTTTTTCATCAAACACTTGACACAACCCAAACCAACCGCCCACAAGGGCCCCACCAAAGGATCCCAAATCATAAAGCAATGAAGAACATCATCAGTTTCAATGGCAAGCAACTTTCTTTGTAACATGCAAATGGAGGACAAAAGCCAAAAAGAAAATTAGGTTAAAGCCAAGCAGTATCTGAAGAAAAAAAAAGTAAAATTATTTAAAGTCTACTTAGAAACATAGGAAGAGGAGGGAATAGGGCCCCGAATTTACAAAAGGGTGGATTCGGCTCCCATCCCACTCTTTTCCACAAATTGCAAAGGAACATACATGACATCCATTGCCCTTCATGAAATTTAAACTCCAAGAAAACAAAAACAAAAAAATTAACAGGGAAAATTAAAATTAAAAGAGACGACCCCGGCAGACACACAAACAGCACTAAAAGGGATGTTCGAGACTGAATTGATAGCAGTAATGCTCTGTCAAGCACAGCAGTAAGACCACTTATCTTCCTCACCACCACCACCACCACCACCAGCAGAATCTGCAACAACGTCATAATCATCCTCACTGCAATAGTACAAGCCATGGTTGTTCATTGCAGTCAAGCAACACGATGAAGATGCCACCAGATACGGCATGTTGTGGAAGGAGCGGGCAAGGCTGGTGGCGACTGCTGCGCTAGCCATGCCGCCATCGTCGCCCTGCCCGTACTCCTCCGCCCGGTGCTTGAGTGTCTCGAACATGAGCTCGGGTTCATGCTGCATCACTCGGAGGACATCCGAACACGACGGCCCTGGCACAGCCCGCGTTACCGCAAAGCTGTGGGGTCCGTCGCTCTGGGAGACCCGAACAACGCTCGGGCCTCCAAAGAGGTTGTGGACGCCTCCGAGTGCCTCCTGATAAGCCCCGCCCAAGAACATCCCCAGATAGTACTTCTGCCCACCGCCATTAGCCCCACCATTGCCTTCCAATTCATGCAGCGGCAGGCTCGACTCCCCACCGATGAACTTGTCAATCTTCCCATCACTGTCGCAGGTCAAGTCCGACAATATTCCCCTCACCACCGGCCGCTGATCGAGGCGGTGAATCGGGACTATTGGGAACGTCTGCCCAATGCCCCAGAAGTCTGGAATTGAAGTAAAAACCGAGAGATTCACATGGTATGTACGGACAGGGTCAGATGCCCCGATTGCTTTCGAAACCATATCACAGAGCCCATCAACAGTGGCTAATTGCTCAATGCCCAGAGACCCTTCTTTGAACTGATCAATACAGCGTTGTTTTCAACTGATCAGCATATGTCAAGCAAGCCTCATACTCACCTCTGATTGCCGCAGCCGAGAGGTTTCGGTAATCGGCACGAGCTTCCTCTGTGAGCCCCTCGATGAAATACTGAAGCGCAAACGCAGACATGGGAGGAACATCATCACAGGCGCTGGAAGAAATGGCCTCAAATATCATAACCGATTGATGAGACACGAGGGCTCGGCCACTTTCGCTGCAAATCACCGGGTGCTTCACCGACTTCCGGTCACAAACGTTCCGGACTGCTCGGACAACAGCAGCAGCATACTCTTCGAGGCTATAGCTGACTGAAATCTCAGAGTCACTGGATTTGGATCCGTCGTAATCGATACCCAGACCGCCTCCAATGTCTATGAACTTCATGTGGGCACCGAGGCGGACCAATTCACAGTAGATCTGAGCAGCTTCGGATACGCCACCGGCGAGCAGAGCAGTCGAAGGGATCTGAGACCCAATATGGAAATGCAACAACTGAAAGCAATCAAGCAGACCCAATTGATCAAGTTTCTTAACAACCCGTAAAATCTGAGTGGTGGTGAGCCCGAACTTCCCTTTCTCGCCCGAAGTCGACCCGAAATGACCCGAATGCTTGGTTTTGAGCTTGGCTCGGGCCCCAATCACGGGTCGAACACCTAGCTTCTTGCTCAAATCAATAACCACATCGAGCTCTTCCTCTTGCTCAAGAACAATCACTGTGTTTAAGGCGAGCTTGCGAGCAAACAGAGCCAGAGAGATGTACTCGAAGTCTTTGAATCCATTGCAGATGAGAAGGGCTTCTGGGTTACCTTTGCACAAGCAGCTCATGGCCAAGAGAAGCTCCGGCTTCGACCCAGCTTCCAATCCGAACCGGAACGGCGAGCCGAACCGGACAATGTCCTCCACGACGAACCGGTCCTGGTTGCATTTCACCGGGAACACGCCCTGGTAGTGGGACCCGTAGTCGTGGGACTGGATCGCGAGATCGAACGCCCCCTGGAGCGACTCCAGCCGGTTCTTGAGCACATCGGGCAGGCGAACAATGAGCGGGAGTTGCAACCCGAGCCCGCAATCTGGTTTCGGATCCGAAACCTTCTTCACGATCTTCAGCAGATCGATCTCCTGGTGGGGCAGGGTCGCCGACCCATGCGGACGGACGGCGACGTTGCCGGAGGAATTGACGGTGAAGTATGGCCCACCCCAGGCGTCGATTCGGTAGAGGTCGGATGACAGGGAGGGAGACCAATGGGAACTGTCGGTGGTGACGGCGGTGGTCGCCGGAGGTACGCCGGAGAATGGCGGAGCGGGAAGAGAGCTATCCCCGGCGAAGGCGTGGCCGGGAGGAGCCACAGCAGCGTCCACGCAACAAGCCAGGGCCGGCATCTCTTCTTCCGCGACGAAGATCAATCAAAAAATGAAATAAAAAATTAGAGAAATTGGGGGTTAGGGTTTGATTTTTGTGAGTTTGTAATGGCTGGGGGCTTTAGAACCCGCCGAGGCCGGAGCCCCGGCTACCCCCTCAAACGAAGCAGTAAAGGCTCTATTGAAACGGGTCGGTCCCCCTGTAACCCGCTCAGCAAGCTCCGTTATCCTCACACCGAACCTCAGGAGAGAGAGAGAGAAAGAGAGAGCGAGAGGGTTTCACGATTGAGATTTCAACAGGTCTCTGGTTTTAAGCTCCGAAATCCGACCCGACCATGCAGTGCATGTGACAGGATAAGGATGAGGAAGGAAGGTGGGTGATTACGGGTTTTCACCTGAAAAATGAAAAGAAAAACCAACGGAGAGGAAGCTAAATTGGGGGAAAAATTTCGTTTCTTTTCCGGGAAAGGCCGAGAAAATTGCTGGGAAAGAAAATGGAGTTTCTAGTTGGGGAAGTTTTTTTTTTCTTTTCTTGTTTAAGAACCCGGAAAGGAAGATGGAAGTGGCGAGAATTGCATGAAAGCCTGGGCGCCTTTATATAGGGAGGGAATCAAGGGATTAGGGTTGGGCCGGTGGGCCCCCCTTTTTGATTTGGGCCTCGGCGAATAAAATATCTTTATTTTTAATTTTTTCCTTGTAAGCTCAATTTCTCGTGATATTATGTGGGACTGTCGTGGCCACTCAGCGTCGAGTTGCCGCGTGGCCCCTGTAGCAGGAATGGGGCCCACTTTTGCTCCGCAGCGGCTCCCGAGACATCTCGTGGTCCAAATTGTTCTGTGGCGAGAAAATGGGGGTAGGTTTTAAGATTTCGCGAGTGCGGTATTTTGTTGTAGGAAAGCTCGGGGAAGTTTCTTTCTCCCAGCGAGATCTGGGGTTTCTTTTTCCTTGAACGGCTAGGATGGAGTAGTTAGTTTCCGCTCGCATTTCTTACACTCTCTCGTTTTACAGGTGTAATTTCTAAAACACATTGCATTTTTAAAAGCGAGGCTTCGAAAAAACACAAAAGAGATAAAATTTTTGTAAAAGAAGTCAAAATGGATAAAATTGCCTTTATTTATTTTTGGATTTCCTAAGGAATCATTTATATTTGCATGTCTTTGATTTGAAAGTTGAGAGGTTTTTTCTGTCTTTTTTGAAAAAGTTTTGGCTTTTTCCAAAAGTGAAATTTTTTTTTTGGCTAAAACCTAAATTTACTTTTTTTTAAAATGTGCTGCTATTTCAACTCCCTTGTTCTAGATTTCTACTCATTTTATTTTTCCCACCAATCATATAAATTTGAAAAAAACACAATTTATCTTTACTATTTCAAGTAAATTTTATTTATTAATCAATAATAGAGATACGGAGATGATCGAGTTGTGGTTGAACAGCTGAACATGGAACATAATCAAACGGTAGAATATATGGGTTATGTGAATTGAGTTTTTTTCCCTAAGTCCTAGAAGTCATTTTTCAAATATTTGTCTCGAAAATTTTGAAGATAATGTGAGAAGGGAAATATGACTGCGATGGAAATAGCAACACTCTTCTAAAAACACAAATTCAATTAATGCATAATTAAAGAAGTTACGTGCAGGTCACGCATTGAAATCGATGGATTATACAAACTCACATATTCAATTTAGGAAAAAGTTACGTGTAATGTGTTGAAGGCATGTAATAGGTGCTAGTCACTCGAAATTTTTTAATTGATTCTTAATATGTGACCTTTTTCGTTTGATGCGGTTATGTGACCTTTACTCATCTTAACGTACGATATGGTGTTTTTTTTTATAAGTATTGGACTTGTATGGTGGTGTTTTTCTAAAATATTGGGTTTGAAGAAGTGTAAAATTATTATTATCTTATATGTGAAAAACACCAACCGAAGAATGGCATCAAACTTGTTGCGGTCAGGTCTTTGCCTGAGTTTAGAGTGCTCTCACAAAATCTCATATACTCAAAAATAATATTTTAACCTTGTAGAGGGTATTTTGGTCCTTCTATTAATTTGGTTAGCTTTTGTAGGTTGAATTTTCTTCTCATGCGGCGAAAATACATGCAGAGGAAGGGGGTTTTCACACACGTCAAAGTGTCATGAGGTTCAAATTTCAGTTTTTATTTGCTTCTTGTTTTTTCAATTTTCTTTTTTCATTATTTTGTTTTAATTTAAGAGAATGCAAAATATTGCAAGAACCATGTAGCTGAAGATGTTAAGGCCCTATATGGTTCACGGAATGAATTTGAAGGGAAATTACTTCTCATGTCATTTCCTAAGGGATGAGAAATGGTAGATTTTTTTCCCACGTTTGGTAATGCTAAGAAAGTAATCGGGAAATAGCACTTAATTTCCTTTCCCATGTTTGTTTTGAGTAGGAATAGAAAACAAAGTTTGTATAAATTTTCAATTATACTCATATTAAATTAAATAAAAAAAGAATGCATTTAATGATATATTGTAATTCTAAATTGTTAATAGGGACAAAATGGTCATGAAATATGTGTATTTAATGTTAGTTCATTTCCCCAAACTTTCTCACGAAGAGGGAAAACAAAACCCAAATTGGGATGATGGCTTCACTTTCCTCCCTACTTTCCCATGGGTCAAACAATGATTTCTCATGACTGGACTTACCAAACATAGGAAAGTAATTGATTTTTCATTTCCAAGTCTCCTTTCCCATGAACTAAATGGGGCCTAAAAGCATTTACTCATACATTAAATGTCATGTATTCCAATGCTCCTTCTCCTAATATCGCTTGAATGATTTATTTTTTTTTGCAAATATTAGCCAAAGAACTATAGGACGACATTGTTTGCTTTCCTTTAGCAAAATGCAAGAATACAAAGCGAGATGTTGTTTACTCATACAAGTGTAATAACCGTCTCCCGATTAGCATTTTAAAATATACAAATTTATAAATAAACTCAATCCTAGACATGTATTTATAAATAAACCCAAGCACTATTTAAACATAGAAACACACCCAAAATCAACAATTGTATATTTTTTGGGTGTGTTTATAAATGGGTTTTGAGTGTGTGTAATGATGAGTTTTGGGTGTTTTTATAAAATGTTTTGGGTGTTAGGTTTTTTTATAATTTCAGTCCCCATTTTGGGTGTTTTAGTGAAACTCTCTTTAAAATATCATTCAAGCCGATCTTAAGCACCCAGTACTCGGTTTAGCTCGGCTCATCACACCCCAACCATAGACAGAGGATGAATTCCCAATCTTTATTTCATGAACTCTTTCTTTTGGCAAATTTTCATTTTCAATTCATGATTTTTGTGTTTTGTTTTGAGTTTTTTTTTCTTGCCACACATTATTAAGATAACATTGAAGTTCGAATATGAAACTATTAATCAGCACATAAAGACTCTTTTTTCACTAAACCAAACACCTTCGGCCATTTTGTGGCCTTAGGTTTAATGAAAAGAACATATGGACATAAGGCTAAAGATTTAATAAAAACAAAAAAAACAAAAAACCGGTAGATATTTAGTTGGCGAAGGTAGACATTGGGTGGGGTTTGAAACAATTTCGAAAGGCTTTCTTTAGTTGTTTGTTTAGCCTAACATTATCCGCGAGAGAATCTGCAAATTTGACGTCTTAAATTTCTATGCAAAAAAAACCCTAAGAGAGAGAGAGAGAGAGAGAGAGAGAGGAGAGAGAGAGAGAGAGAGAGAGAGAGAGAGAGAGCTTATTTCTCTATCTTACGCGCATCCCACACGTAAACAACGTTGATAAAGAAAAAAAAAATAGAAAAGCTCAAAAGCATGACACTCTCTCCTCAAATAAAGCAAAGTTCAAGAAGCTCCTTCCCATCGCTATGAACATTAAATGTAAAATATTAGTTTTTTCTATAGAAAAATGCGATAATGATTTATTCATAAGAGTAGGTAAGAAGTACCCAAAAAAAACTCGACTAAGCTTTAAGGGATTAGGTGATCATCTTTATTATATATTTCGTCGTTACTCTAACCATTAGCTTTTTTTTCTTTTTTGCTCAAAGCAACAGGGGAGACTCTAAGCATAGACGAGCAAGGTGGTCGCCTAGGGCCTCTAAATTGGAAGGCCTCTAAATATGTATGTTACTTTAAAAATTGTACTATATTAGTATTATATTGAGCCCAAGTACTGTTAAAAAAAAACCCCGATTATTTACTCTAAAACTAAAAAAAGGAAACTTAATAAGAGCATCCACAATAATGTTCTCTATTTCTTAGCTAAAATTTGGTTAAGAATATAAGAAAGCTATTTTAGGAGCTCTCTAAAAAATTTCAACTCCAACCATACTCCCTAATTTGGAGAGTCATAAATGCTTTAATTCTTTTTTAATTGGTCCATCTCTATTATAAAATAAAATAAAAAATAGTTAGCATTAAATATAGGTTTGAAATACTCATTAAATAAAGCAGCATTAAATTATAGGGAGCCACTAGAAGTTATTTCTCTCTCCTCAGATTTAGGAGCTCCTAGAGGACTCTCTATTTAATAAGGTGGATAGGGAGTGTGGTTGAAGTTGCATTTTTACGATTCCTCTCTAAAATTTGTCTAAGGAGGTGGTTTAGGGAGCCCATTGTGATTGCTCTAAGGGACCAATTATATTTTTAAAATTAAACAAGTTTAATGAGTTAACCTAGTTGAATAGGTCAACATAGTAGCATATACCATAGCAAAAACGAAAAAACCTAGCAGCATATAGGAAAATCTGCTTTATTCAACACAAGGAAAAAAAAGCAATTTATTATTAAATATCTACTGCAAGAGGAAGCGATCTTCAAGGAAGAACAAAAAGTTAAAAACCCACAAGACTATTGCTTATATTGTCTATTGAAAAAGACATGGTAAAAAAAGTTGATTATGCAAAGTTAATTGATATTTTGGCATTAAAAAATACAAACGAGTGATGTTTTGATGTATTTTATAAATTTGTTATGTGAATTACATTTTGTTTGTTTCTTTTTAAGTCACAAGTC